GGGGGTCCCCCAGCGAATCCACTGCGATCGCGATTTGAGGACCCCAGCCAGCTAGGGGGGGGGGGGGTCCCCCAGCGACGGGCCCCGACGAGTGAGCCAGAACTCTCGAATCCTAACTACTTCTATGTATGTAAACATTTCATTAGGGGATTAGTAAACGTTTCGAAAACATAGTAACTCCGGTGGCCGTGAAAGCATAAATTCATTGGATTAAAACATGATCTAGCGACGATGAGTATGTGTCCCATAGATTTATTCCCTTCGTTATTGTTTTGTTAGTTGCTTGGTTACGGCCAGCATCGTAGTTAATTGGACGAGGGCCCCGGTGTACAAAAAAGAAACCCCTACTTTTCACTTACCTTGAAGTTTAATATATAAGCCTCTAAAACTATAGATAGATATTTTTCTTCTATTCTTTTACGCTTCTCTATTTTCTAAGATTATAGAGGTCCCTGATGCATTACCTAGCCCTACGATATCTATACTACTGACTGCGGCTCCTGCAGATTTCTAGCTTGAGTATTAAAAACTATTTAAGGGCACAAATATCTACCATACAGTTATTATAGTGTTTTTATCCAGCTTATTGGCTTGACGAGTTTGGTATGTATGTTAATCTATCTCGCGTTTAGCTCAACAGATTTACATTAGGTACACATTTAAAGAAAACACTTTTACGGTTTAAAACGCGATATATATTAAATATAAATCGTGTTTTAATTATATATATGTTAAACTTATTTGAAAATAATTTTCATTACGACCCGATGTTTCGGATGCTTTGCAGCAGCCGTAGTCACGGGGAGACTAATGATGGAGGATATCTCTGACGTCAAAGTAAAAAACTGCTACGCTAGCGCCATCTGTTCTGTCGAAGTTGGTAATTGGCGAAACTGGCCGGGACAAAGCATCCGAAACGTTTTAAACTGTTAGTGTTTAATTTAAAATCATTCTTCTTTCTAAATGGAATTCGTTCTGAACTTACCTAACGACCTGTTTCCTCGGTGTGGGCTGATACGCTAAGTCTGTGGGGCCCCGGGGCCATTCAAAATGTCTCTGGAAGTCTCTCAATCGCTGTAGTTCAGTCAGACGTGCGATGTGTAGGTGCGTTGCTATCTGTGCGATTTCTTCCATGCTCAATGGCCTTTGTCTTAAGCGGTATGCATCTACCACCCTGTCGATCGCCCGAGGACGCTGCGTTGCCTGCATCTACGGCAGCAGATGGAAAATAATTTATTTTAGAAAAATATCAACAAGAAATACTTAAATGTGTATTTGGTTAAATTCGTTAATAAAACATTACAATGGATAATGTTTATAGTGAATTTGTTTAACGCAGCCACTAGATGGCGTTGGCGTTCAAGATTGATTCTTTATTGCTTAAACGAGGTTAACAATGTTTACAGAATGTTGGTCTTACTTGGGTGGATACATATGGGTGGCTTAGCCTTTCCAGAGAGTTCTTATTATACTACCTACATACCTACTATATACTTTTAAACAAAATAAAAGTAAAAATTTGTCTCTGTACCCAAATGGACATGAAAGGATTGAGCGCTAGAGACCTGGGTTCGAATCTCAGGGAAATAATAAATTGTTTTGGGCGAGTAGGGCACAGAAATCTGATCAAATGCTTGCTTGTAAAAGGACCAAGCAGCGGCACAGGCGCAGAAATCAGTCGAACACAATTCTGCGCCCGTTTCACTGACATGTCCCACGAGGTAAAAAAAAGTAAAAACTTAGATAGTGTTAACTGCATAGAATTAAATCAATTTAGTGCTCTTTTTATCGCAAACAGAATTGATATCTATTTACGTCTAGTAAGGTTTCATATTATTTCGCATTGCGATCGTATCTAATTACGTTGGTGTTATGCAAAAATGTCTGTGTTGCAATATCGTTCAAGCTGCTTGAGTTATTATGTCAGTTAACTTGGAATTGGTCAAAAAGAACCGAAGGAATCTTTAAATGAAACATTATTAACAGTTTAAAATGCGAATCCTTCGGTTTTATAATTTTTAAACACGGTTAGGCTTTATATACACTTTTAACGGTTAAAAATTGCGAAATATTCGGCATTTTTATTTTTAACCAAGTACGTTTTCAATACGTTGGCCACGCTTGGGCGAAACGCAGATAAAAGACGTCGCGTTTTAAACCGTTGATTCTTCAGCTGTGCTACTTACGTATAATATAGAATAGTGAAAGTTGACTAGTTATCATATTGTCACTATTCTGTTATAAAATTGTGAACAATCAATTACTATTTTAATATAAAATTTATTAATCAACCGCCATAACTTACCTAGTAAGTAATAATATTCTGAAATACATCGGTGTGTACCTAGACTACCCCTAAGTATATTTGTTTGTATGATTTTCCTCAGTCATTACACACATGCTAAGTACTAAGGTAAGTTATTAATTAACATTTTATATTTCTCTATTGGTGACATTACTTAATCTATACTAACTTGTAAAATTGTACACTGTACTAAGTAGTCTGTACTGTACTGTACCTCTTGTATAGGTATGAGGTACGTGTATAAATAAAGATATTGATCGTTGATAGCGTATCTAATATTTTTTTATTATAATCAAAGCCTAAAAAGCACGTAACTATCTATTACACACGTATTTTTCGTAAATGATTTGTAATTCATATTTTATATTTAAAAAAAAGCAAAGATAAATATCTATAGGTATTATTAAATCTCATATAACATAAAACTTATCATATAATTAATATTATAAATGTTTAGACGTTTGTGAATATCTTCTAAATTTTGAATTATGTATTGTTATTACAAATATTTGTAAGTATTACTCATCATGACTTGGTTTATTAAGGTACAAATAAGGAATAGAAGCTAAATAATTAAGTGTAATTAATTAATTTACTATGTATAATTGTATAACAACGATTATACATAGTAAATTAATGAACGCGTATTTCGTGTTATTTCAATTCTAAGAAGCTGAATAATTTATCAATGATCAGGAAAGAAATCAGAGCTCAATCATAAGCGATGGTCCTATATCGTTATTTACATAATGGACTACCGAGTACCAAGTGCAGCAATGTTTATCTCCAATGGCTTACAACTTGTAAGTAGGGATTGTATTTGTAACGCTTACCTTTAAATCTCAATAATATCCGCAATCACTGATCATAATAGTCTGGTTAGCAACAATAGGTCACAGGTCCGCAGCACTGAACAGTAACAAACAACAACGCAACGCGCATGCGTGCTGCCTGCCCGCTCTACCGAGACGCGACTGGTCGCTGGGGGTGTGACGCGCATGCGTCCTGACAATTTGTCTACCAATGCCCAGTGGTAAGTGGTACTCCCCAGAACGGACCTTGGATTAATTTAATGTATTAATAATAAGACATATAACAATACGAAACATACACAACATCTCGGCTACATACACGTAGAAACTTAATATATCCATACTAATATTATGAAGTTGAGTAGTTTGTCTGTTTAATCGCGCTATTATATCAGGAACTATCAGTTCGAATTGAAAAAATATTTTTGTGTTGGTTAGATCATTTGTCGAGGAAGGCTCTAGGATAAAAAATCGCGCCACAACGAAGAAAGAGGCAACCGGAATTCTGGTTTCTTGAACCGTTTTATGAAATAATGATTCCTCGTTAAATTTATTTACAAAAATGTCGGCGACAATGGGACGCGAAATCGATTTAGATATAGATATGCTGTTCTTAGTTATCGTAAAAACATACAAAATATTAACAATTAGTGCTAATATCTAATATTATGCGTTCAATAATATCTAGACTAAGCAGTTATCTTAAACACATATTATTCATTAGGTGCTAAAAGGTGTTAAACTTTTCTGCGATTTCTTCTTAATTAATCCCTTTTCAATTTGAAGTTGTTTTCCTATATAAAATATTGGAAGGTTTTTAAAAACAGCACCATTACAATAAATATTGATTATAGAATCGTGGGTGCGAACTTTTAATAAAAGTTTGAATACAATTAAATAAAATATTTTGAAAGGTTATTTATTTATAACGCTGTAAATAATAAACCAACAAAATTTTTTATACATATAAATTAAGACTGTAAACTATTACAATTCGTACTTCATTTGGTTAAATAAGATCTTTTTACAAGCAAGTTCACTGGGCCCATACCCAGTTCCTGCGCTTACCCCAAACGCCCACTGATTTTTAAAGGTAATAGATATTTTTACACTTAGCGAAAAATATGTCAAAAAGCCAAGGTTGAAACATTTGACCGGGATACTGGGCCTGCCATTGGCTGTGATGGGAGTGATGGAGGGTGTGGTAGGGAGGCTGGAGACAGATCGATGGAGCGCGACACTCCGGCGCCGAAAATTTAAGGTAGTGGTATACTGAGCACTTATTGTATTTCTTTCACACTTTTAAATATATCTTGTTATTATTCTATTACATTTATTTATTATTCTATTACATTTATTAATACTTATGATATTAGATCATTTATTTAAATGAACAAACAAATAAATCTCATACATGCGATACTACATACAGTGCTATCCCCCCCCCCCACACAACTTTAAAAAGTATCAAGGAGCGGTTTTCCAATGTACTCAACATTTGTGCACATCAATATCTTAAATAATAAAATATGTTTAAAAATAGAAGAGGCATCGATGAAGTTTTATGGGTCGCGACACGTCAAAATACCTAATTTATTATTGTTTGGCATTTATACTCAGTGTACCACTAGCCTAAACATTATTTTGTACGATTGTCGCACTCTTCAGTTACAGAGTTATTCTGTTGCGACGCTTGTTGCAAACACACATATTTTGAAAATTCACTTATGCATTATTCGAATAAGTATTGTTGTATTTGGTTAAAAATGAGGAAGCTCTAGAGAAGTTCTTAATAGGTTTTACGTAAGTATGTTTTTTTTTTAATGTCCACATAATAGTTCTAACACTTAATTTAAAATATACCATTTTTTTCATATTGCAGCATGGGTGCTGCCAGTGCTCTAGGTGGTGCAAGTGCAGTACTAGCAGCAGAGATCTGTGCACCATTGTTACTGTTGTGCTGGCTTTGCTGCTGGCCTGATGACGCTTCTGGTATGAGATTAATTTATATTTAACACCAAAGTTAATTAAAATATCCTCAGAGACATTTAAATAAAACACTTTAGTTTGGTCTCCCCGTGACCACACTGCTGCAAAGCATCCGAAACGTCGGGCCGTAGTTGAATGAATTTTCAAATAAGTTTAACTTATATAATTATATTTAAATCGTTAAAGTGTTATAATTAAATGTACTACTGACAATATCCTCATAGACGTTTCTATTTAGATGATCGATATCAACATATTTTTACTGTTTCAGACACCAGTTCCGGTAAACATCCCGCAAGACCAGTAATTACAAATGGTAGAAACTTTTTATTTTATGTTTACGTAATAGAAATAAGATAATACTTATTTAAATAATAATTAATCAATCAATAATTTTAGAATCCGGTGTACGTCGTCGTTCGCATGATCTGTTCGGACGAAGGTTTGGAAGCAGCGCGGTTTCTCTACATTTGCCAAGCACTTCTGGTAAGTTAAAAAATTGTTTACTTATAAAAAAAGTAAAGTGACATCAAAATAGAGCATGTCGGTTATACCTAACTATAATTATGCGTCCGAGCTTACCTTTACAAAACTTGTTAGTCTTTGACGCTAAAATGTCTCTGACAAAATTCCAGGAAGCGCAAAGCAGCCACTTTCAGCGTACAGAAGTAACGAAGAGATACGAGGCAGACGCAAGTCACACCTGGAAATAGGAGACAACGAAACAAGGTACCATTCCGCCCCAAGCGTCATAGACGAAGTAATTCATAGAAGAGATTGGGATCGATCCACTAAGGAACTTTATATTCCGCTCCGACCGGACGGCGAAACTGTGTCACCAACCAAATCAGACAGTTCTGACAATAGTCAACGAACATATGAACAAGTTGTCAGCAAAATGTGCAAGAAACATTACACTAACATAAAGAGTTCAAAGAAAAAGGAAACAGATCATGATATTAAGGACCATGACGCAACGGAAGTTTCTTCTTTCTATATTGGAGATAACGAAGCTGTTCTGACTGTACCAGAAACATCATCTATTGTAAACAATGATGGTAGTATAAATGAACCGATAGAGGTACTTAAAGATGATAGTAGATTTAAGCCGAAAGAAACTAAACAATGTCTTAATGAATCAATTAAAAGTAAAGATAGAAAGAAACAAACGCTTGTGCCTGTAGAAGAATTTAAAGTATCCAGATTTGAGGATGTGAACGTTGAAGTGGATAGATCAGGAGCGATTCATCACAGCGTAGAGTCAAGGTCAAGTCTTTACAATCATGTGGAGCCTATTCCAGCACCTTCTGTTGGTAAGTAAGGATTTTAGAATACATATTTGTAAACTTGAACTTTACAAAACATAAGTTATTTATTACATTACTTAATTGTGCAATGCCATTAAAGCTAGGTATAAAGCCTTAAATAATATTATATATGACCGCCTCTATAGCCAAATGGTTAAACGTATAGCCTAGCGTTGAGCGCGAGAGGTCCTGGGTTCGAATCCCAGGGAGAAAAATTGTTTCGGTCGGCCAGGGCATAGAAGTCTGATCAACTACTTGCCCGTTAAAAGAACGGATCAATGAAACGGGCACAGAAATGTCTTCGCCTCATGCCCCACGAGAGGGGAACGGGCTTTCACTTTTATCTTTTTTTCTTTAATAAAAATAGTAGTAGCTGGTTTACACTCAATCATAAAAGTGTTTTTTTTACTGCGGACCCCGGACACCCGGACGTGACCTGACACTATATACGAAAAATTATAAACTCTTTGTTTCGTTTACCTACGACTAGAAGCAGTTGGTTACGATTCAGAAGTGACGTATCTAGAAGAAACTCCAGTTTGGACACAAAATCCGAATCCAAGTACATGGACTGAAAATTTTATACGAGCTCGACACGCCAGCGCTGGAGACGTCTTAGCGCCTCCGATGAGACCACAGTCTTCTGCACTTTCCGGTAACTCTTGTTTTTACTTCTTGTTATATGTGTTAGTGCCTAGAATCTCTTCTTATCATTATCTTAATGTTAGTTTTATTCTGACTCTAACATACGCAGATTTTGTAACTAAATTTATTGACTTCAATCTTAAACCATTATTAACCTTTGCCTTTTTTAAACCTTAGATTTTGAAGTAATGTGTTGTAATAAATAGCTATTAGCTTTGAAATAAGTCAATGGAGTAAACGTCTTTATGTTTATGAATCCTGTGCTTCTCAGCCTTATTAAGTTTTTTTATTGATACAGTTATAGATAAGGAACGTGTATAATCTGTATTTTTTATGGCCATGTTGGACCTAATCGTGCTAATAATATAATTAAAATATTAATATATAATATAAATCGAGTAAAGGTGGTACATAACGTACTTTGAGGAAGTGATACCAAACTAGCTACATACTTCGAATATTATAACAAATTATTATAGTTCGTGTTTTCTTTTGTTTTTCAGAAAGCGACCTAGACTGGGATTTAGAAGCATGTGATGAGCTGCCACCTTCCTACAATGAAGTGCACTTGCTACCTGATAGAAAAGAAACCGCTATCTAGGTGTATATTTTTTTAAACAAATGAATTACGATTTTCGTATTAGCTCCGTTTGAACTAAGACGCCTTTCAAGCAATTTTAGGAACTAAAATGATTGAAAAGGGCAATATTTTTCTATTGTTATTATCAGCTGTGTGTTCTAGTCCTTAGTTCTTATTGAGTTGTGAGTATCCTTGTTGGGGATAATACTTTTTGAAACCTGTTGTTTAATAATTAGATTTAGAATTTTAATCAAAGCTCAAGATTTATTTTTGCTAATTATTGTGCAGCAGAACATAAATTGAAAATGGATTTTAGATTGGAAAAAATTTAGGACATGGGTGGGACTTGAACCGACATCTACAGCGACAGCACGAAACGCTTGCCGGGTTGCCAGTTCAATCGATTCATCCGGTTTTTTAATCTAAAATCGATTTTAAATTTATATAATGCTATAATGTGAAAATATGTATGTTTTCATATGCACGAGAACAATTATTTTGGTTAGAAGTCGTGTGATACTTCTGATTGCAAGAAAATATGTCCATAGATAGTCAATTGAAAGTTTCAATTTTAAAATACAAATAATATAATGTTAAAAATATATTAATATTACTATATAACGAATTCTAATGTCTTTATTTTTCTACTTTAATAGTTTACATGCAATATTTGTTATCTATTATTTAGATAATGTTAGAAAAAGAGTTTTAAATTATTTTCAAAACAGAATGGTAATAATAAAACAAATGTAACAATTTAAAATACGATACTACTCTCAATATTAAAAAAGTAGGTACCTACTTTTAATTGTTGCGCAAATAGCAGAGCCTTTAGAATTTAGATCTACTAAACTATGTTTTTGATGTTATTGTTCTAATCAATAAAGTGCTTACTATAATGACTGTTTTAGTATTATTATTTTATATTCAATACAATTATAGAAACTGGACCTCGGAACCTCACGATTATAAAATTACAGATTATAAATCGTTTGTCAGATGTCAAAAAAAAATGTATATACGACCTCATCTACATTAATAATATGATACAGATGAGTAAGACCCTTTGTACTAAGACATTAAAACACATAAATTCTTTTTAATATATCAAATAGGGTGACTTAAAATAAAGATTGAGAAAAAGACAAAGAATAAAAAAGTGAAGCACATTTATTAGAATTTATCAAAATACGTTATAAAATTTTAAATACACAAGCGATAGCAAAATTCAATTTGATATAATTTTATCTCCTGTATAGACATAGAACAGCTTTTATTGGACAAGGCGTTTTATATTGGCTACATTATAGAATTAGTTCCTAACTAAGCTTACACTTTTTAATTTCCTTTTTATTAAAGTAACACATATTAAAGCACGAGTCACGTTTTAAAAACACGTGCTTTAATCAGGAACTAATAATAATAATTCTTTATTGGTCTCATTGTTACAAATATTGATTATGGTCTATCTTTGAAAATATTTATTTTGAATAAATCATGGTAAAAAAAAGTCATGAATCAACTATGGTAAAATAAAGTTAAGAATTTTTTTGTCTGATGGTCTCACGTGTCCTTAATAACTATTAAACTTTAGTCAGATATATGAAAATATAGCTAACATACAGAGCAACTGCAACAGTCCATCCATGTTTGTAAGGAAATTACAACTAATAACAACTATTTAAAATTAAGTAAGATATTAGTTTCTTAAAAAAATAATAAAGCGAATTTTCCACGTGGAGAAAATACATTTCTTCATCAGATTAATTGCTCAATTTTATTTGCAGGCTAGTTGTTAATCAGACTTCTACGTTCTGATGTGCCTCTGTTTCCACGGGATTAGAACCTAGGAGTTCTCATGGCATTGCATTAGGGCTTTTGAGTTCCAGAACAATGCTAGCAACAGGTTATCCATTGAGCAATGGAGGTAATCGGAAAATACGAACCTAAAATAAAAAAAACTAGCATCTATAGATCTTTCTAGACTGTAACAACTTCACCATTGCTAGATTCATCATACATAAGATGCGATATAATTTTTAATATTAGAAATATTTCAAATTATGCATTGTATATACTTACGCGAGTAGTACACATTTCAATAAAACGGTTTAATACGCGATATATATTAGGACCGAGAAACTTATTTGGAAGTTAAAATAATTTCCAAATAGGTTTAACTAATATATGTCGCGTTTTAAATTGTTGAAGTGCTTTATTTAAGTTATGCAATGAAATCATTGTTGTTCAGGCTGTATAGATTTGGCTCCTTAAATTTTATTTTAAGAGCCATTACCGATTATGCATCCCCAACTACGATTTCTGGTGGCGCTGACAAATGTTTCCTCTGCTCGTCGCCAGTCTTTTGTTTCCTTCTCATCATAGGCGTCAAATCTTTCTTAATTGGAGTATTCTGCATCGACAATTCCCTCCAAACGGGCGATAAGTCTCTTCTTTTTGGCGACAACTCTCTGTACACTGGTGGTAATTTCTTCCTTGGAGACAATTGCTTGGTTTTTAGTGACAAATCTTTTCTTGAAGGAGATTTTGGAGATATGCTATCGATAGAACTATGTGTTGGTGAGACGAGCTCGATCTTTCCTGGAATTGTTTTTGGTCCGTTTCTAATAGGAGTTGTTCGCGGTGTGAGAATTGTGGGTGGAGGTAGAGTATTGGTGTGACTCCGAGGATGTACTGTGTCAGTATGGGCTGGTGTAAGTGAACTTGATCGCTGAGCGATGGCTGTAGCAGAATTATAAAACAGATTTAGAAAGATGTTTTAGAAGCATATGAACATGTACCTATAGTATAATCTAACGCACGATTTCTAGATACAATTAAAAAATCTTTTTATTATTAGATCCTTTTGTGTAACATACGTATATTGTGATGATATAGAAAGTTTATCACCTCTGTCCCTACTTGGAGACAACATCTTGACTCTTGGTGAAGCAGGCGAGGCTGGGGAGGCAGGGGATTGACACAGACGTGCCATCGCAGAAGCACTTGCACGGACCACTAACAGAAAACAAGTTATAAGTGAAAAGACAACATGGATAAAGCTTATGCTCCAATAAGCAAACATTTAATTTAACGTTAACATTTAATGAAACGTTCTCACCACAATAATAATAATAATAATAATAAAAGGATAATTATGAAAGGAAATAGTGGGAGGTATGAAAAAGTGTTTTATTGTATTATGTTGAAAGTTGCATGTCCACGGGGACAAACTCAAGGGTGAAAGCTAACGTATAAATAAATATGTTAAGTAGGTAGCACCCGTTCTTTTGCTGTATGTGTAATTGTGTGCGTGTTTCAAAGATACTATTTTGACTTACCGGGCTGAACAGGATAGGCAATACTTCCAGGTGGAGGTGGTCTCACTGACTGCACCCGTTCAGGTAGGCCTTGGCGACTTAACTCTGTAATGTGGTTAGTTTCGATTTTTCAAGTATCGTTTTGTGTGAATAATGGTGTTATTAACAATGTATTTATTAACGACATCGAAGATAACTTATTAAATTAGGCTTAGTCGATAAAAAATGTGGCCGTGACACGCTTGCCAGTTCTTCTCGAGCAGTCTACGTCCTAAATTTGGAGCATTTTTTAACTAAATTACCCACATTATAGGAATAGGAAAATATGTTAAAAAAAAAGAACTTTCTTAAACTTACAAACAACAACATAATGACAACCGGGTTACTAAAATTGTGGATTTTCGATTTTGTTGTATAGCTGGGTTTATTTACCTTTCATCAAGTGGAACCCATACTTGTCCTTCTCTATCGTGAATATCAAAATGAATCTGTATTTTGAACTCTGGATCTGTTCCGACTTCTGTCCTTTGCAGTCGTTGGGTAGGAAGACATTTTTGTAAGATGACTTCATAATACAAGTTTACCTTTAACACGCCTTATGAAGAAGTATATAAAGTAGCAGCACAGCAATAGCAGCAAAGCCACCACACCAGCTAAGGCTACATAGTAAGCTGTGTGTGAGGGCGGGCGGGCGCCCCGAATAGTGCCGCCCATAACCATTGTTTAGATGATTCTAATTTTAAGGAAAAATAGCTTCTTATATTTTAATATGAAGTAGAATATTACACGGATTTCTAAAGCTAAAAACACAAGTACTTACCAATTTTAGTATTTCTCAAGTACAAAACTTACTCTTCAGAAAGTTCACAAAAACACATTTTCTACACATAACTTAATGTTAAGTAGCTCAATTAATTGCTTTCCATTGTATATAGGTTTCGAGAAGATATATCGAAAAACACTTCACTAAAAATGACGACGATAATTATACGACGATATTTCGTAGCACACTATACGTAGTTCAAATAAGACACCGGCTGTGTTATTTAAATTAACGATAAAATTAATTTGTGCTAAAACTTTTTTCCCATCTCGAGCCACAGTGTCTCAAGATTTAACTAAGGGTTGATTTGCGTAAGGATAGGCAGTAGATGTCGTGTGTAGTGTCAAGAAGGCGCGACATAGCAACAAGTGTCGGCGACACACCGGCGCCTCGCCTGACTCCTCTAGGGATGAATAATCCTGAGGGATCAAGTCAAAGTCAAGGATAATGTCTTATTTTTTAGGAATGAAAATGTGTGTTTAATATACGCTTAAATAAAACATTGAATACCGTGAAAAAGTAGAAAAATGCGCTAATCAATGTTTCGTAGTTTATAAGTTTAGCTTTAGTAATTCTGACATTAGCTTAGTTTACAGCTACAAAACAATACTAAAAGTTTATATAACTAAACTATACTAATATATAAAACTGAAGAGTTTCTTTGCTTGTTTGAACGCGCTAATCTCAGAAACACTGCAAGTATAATAATATAAAATACTGTCTATAGTTTACGCGAGTACTACACATTTAAATAAAACATTTTAACGGTTTAAAACGCAATATATTAGTTAAACTTATTTGGAAATGATTTTTAACTTCGGCCCGACGTTTCGGCTGCTGCAAATCGGATCCAAATAAGTTTAACTAATATATCGCGTTTTAAACCGTTAAAGTGTTTTATTTAAATATAATAATCTAAACATATCACATACTAATAACTAAATTTTGCAATTGCTATCTTGCATAGGACAGGCTACATGAAACGAATTGTTATAACACCTATATTTTTATTTCTAAGATGTGTTTTTGTACCAGTAAATAATACATTTTGTTCGCAGCCCTACTTTAAGGCAGGACTTCATGTGGTCTCCTACTTGGCGTCTTGGTGTCGGCGTAAAGAATTTTGAGCGCATGCCCAGTAAATTCGTCAACACTATCTGATAAATGTCATAAACGATTACTATATTTGGATTGATCCTGAACTACTTAGATGTTGTAGCTAGACTTTCTACTTTATGTGAGACATTTTATAACTATGAAAAAATGTAAAGACATGGGGAAATAGTCAGCTGATAGACTCTTCAGCCCGCATTCGGTGTTCTCAATAGAAAAAAAAACACTTAATACCTGTTAAAAACGTTTGATCACGTCTCCCTTAAAGCATACGAACTCGTTTCAAATCGTTGAGTGGGTTTTGATTAACAGTTAACTTTGTTTTTATAAAACCTCCTGGTCTCTAAAATATAGATATTGTGGGTAGTTATGAAAAAAAACTTTAGCAAAATTAAATTTTGAAAACCTGGTTATAAAAAGTTAGAGATTGCAATAATTTATTATGTTATCACACTTTCAACGTTAAAATTTAATTGTATTATGTTAAAGTAATCTTAATGTTAGTGATTTCTTAAACTACAGAAAGAGAAGCGTTCTAATTTTTAGTTATATTAATACACAGAAATACTTGCTTTTATTATTGCCTAGCTTCTATTTTATTGAGATTAAATTATATTAAAATATTAAAGTAAAACCTTCACTTTTCTCCTAAAAGTCTTAGTTTTGAAGACGACGATTAGCTGCTTGTACACACAATTAATAGAATATAATATAGTAAAGTATAGTATAAAAAAATAGTAAAGAATAGAAGATCAAATAAAACATTGAAAAGACTTTAATAAAAATCATTTACTGAACCTTATATGGTAGGGTACAAATCAACAACTCGAAACTTTCTGAAATATGGAAGAACAATATCGGACAGATTAAATATGGATTTGAATAAATATTATAACTAACTGTAGATAAGGCATAAATATTATAACATTGTATTACAAAAAAAAGATGGTTATTGTCAAACGCGTGATAAATATTTAATTAGCGAAAGATAATTTTCTGGACAAACTGGTAGGCAATCTATTTATTATCACAGAAAAAAATATAGAAAAAAAGATACAATAATTGTAGCACAGACGTCGTGCATATATTTTTCGATTATTATAGACAATTGTAATAATTATTAACAATTATTTTGGGAATCAAATTTTAAACATATTTATTTTACGTGTATATTACATTTAAAGTTACCTAACTATACATGTATATTTAATATTATAAGGTACCATTTTAAATTCATTACAAATGCGTTTATTTTCCTAACGTGAATTCTATACGTATTAAGACAACTTTACCCAAAGGAAGCGACATATAGTATATTGTTGGTGTCTCGATTCTTAATCTTTAAGAATCATGTTAAGAAAAAAATCTTTTTTGTTTAACACTTGTATGTTTTCCTACAAACACAATTAATATACAATAATGTAGTACAAAACGTCTTTAAACGAATACTATACGTACAAAGATCGCTTAATCTAAATATCTGACTACAATTATTTCTTTGACTTAATTAGTTAAACGCAAAAAACTTAAACCCTGTCTAAAAGTAGTTATAATAATCCAATAAATAGTACCAGGTCATTAGCAATGTTCAATAAAATACTAAAAAAAAGTTAATAATTTTATGTTTCTTTTCTCTGTGTACGTCTTAGAAGGATCGTAATAATCTAGACTAGGAATTATAAAAACATCTGACGATTCTAGTTTTCACATAGCTTTGAGTATTATATATTGTTTAGCAAAAAACTTCTATTGATAAATCACAATTTCAAATCTAGTTCTGCCATCTACTGGACATAAATGGAAGTATATTGAGCTAATTAGCACAACTGCGTTATGAGCAACCTGTTACTATTGAAATATGGGTTTCACTACGACACCCTGTATAAAACCTGAGTAGCAATAAGGCAGTTAAAAATGCATGGAAAATTATTATAATATAAGATTACACTACATGAAGAATTCATATACATATTTGAAATTCATACTCTAGTGTGTGCAAAACACGATTTACAAATATTTTTCTAGATGATGTTGTTTGGTTGATGGATCTGAATACAAAATCAAGACTCATTTATCTGTCACAGCAAACCTTATACCAATAATTATGTTTTTATTTTATAATTTGAATGCAAAAACAATAAAGAAATGTTAATGTCAATTATGACAATTGAATACAAATAATAAACAAGAATCGAAAGTAAAATTCATAGATACGCTTAATCTCAGCAGACGCTAAAGACAGTTAAAGACAAGACTTGTCATTAAAAAAAACTGAACAATAATTTTACATCCAGGCCATAAAATATTATTTAAAAAATATCTTGAGTTCGCAATGTGATAAAAAAAAACACCTAGAAACCAATTCTTCTTATTTAATGTGACAAGATAGCGTGAATTGCATTATTCTAAACGTCAATCAGAAGAGTACTAAACGATTCAATAGCAGTATTCGTATCATCTATGGTGTAAACCATGGCCATCTGGATAGACTGAAGTTACCATCCAGATGGTCATGCTGTCTCCGACTTCACATACAAATTAAAATCTCATACTATATAAAATTGCTCAGTCTTGCCTCAAATTACGAGTACAAGTTTGTATGTTATCAAAAATGATTACACTGACCGGTAACCATTAACATAACGACAAACATATCGCGGAGCTCACATAGAGTATATATGTATTCATACGCATATCACAACTGTATAATATATCTTAGTGTGTAGCGGTGTATATGTTCGCCTGCTTGCCCACTGCTTGGTCGTATGAAGGAGGTAGTGCTGGAAAGAAAAATATTTAAAATCAATATTTGACAGACCAAAGGTTTTAGACTAAAATGGTTAATAAATAAATATAACTTTAAAATATTAGCCTCAAATAAAATACACTACTATGATATAAAATATTTATGAATCGAGAATAGAGCCAATTCTACTTTACAATATGATGACGTCATATGAGATACGTGATATATTTTGCATTCCAATACAGATAATAAACATAAGATTATAAACTGAACATGATACTGCGGTAAATCTCATCAATACTTCTTGCTTTACGCAAATTAACTAAAATTAGAATAGTGGAATTGTTACTAATATTCTATCTTTTGAAATGCTTACATCATCAGCTGTTTACAAGATGATCAAATAAGGCATTATCAAACTAATCCATTTTTCTGATAAGAGTTAGGAACACTCGTTTCTACTGGCATTGAATCAAATCAGAGCATACTTTTACGATAGCATACAAAATGCAAAGCAAGTTAAGTAATATGATAATGTAATAATGTCTATATATTCCTATATATATTAGAACAGACGAGGCTTCTACAACACAAAAATTATCGAGGAACGTTTTAGAAGGAAAAGTTTGGTTTTGGGCCAAATTTTACCAAAACTTTTTCCTCTAGAGAACTTTTAGAAACTAGTTTTCGTTGGGTCTACAATATATTATAGAAGAATTAAATAAAATGGTTTCAACATATTTCATAAGCAAGTTGATAAAGTTGTTATGTTATCATTCATCCGGCACGGCAACCGTTTCTATTGATGCTCTTATATTCTTCCATAGTATATTCATTCATAGCTCGTCAATATACGACTTAACAAACCTTGTGGATGCCAACCAGGGGCGGCCAATCCAAGGAAAGCTAATACACAACATAATTTATGTTATAAATACCCTACTACGACATTGTAGATGACACGGTTATCATGCTTTAAATGAGATCATTAAAATAGCTCATTATCTTTAGTTGTGAACATTACATACAAAAAAGCATTCATAAAAGATAAATCTACTTTTTATCAAAATACATTTTTACGCTTTCTTGTGCTTATTAGAAATCTGTATACAAGATGCCAAATTTTAAATTTAATTATCTGGAAGTCCCCAAAAAGATGTAGTGGGACGAACTTTGGTAAAACCTTCTTCAAAATATTGTTATAAGTCATGACTAATAAACCGGACTGTGGTGTTTTCCTGTTTCCTACAACATCCAAGCGAAAGCTTGCAATGCATGACGTCATTGACACGCCACTATGAAAAAATAATATTATACTGTTATCTATTTTTGATCTATAAAGATCTTTCTGTGGTAGGCATTTTTTTTCCATTACACTGTTTCAAATTTTAATTTAAAATCCTTCATAGTGAGATTAATACAGGCCGCTAATCAATTAATAATAATTATGTATGTTCATAATTTTCATAAGAAGTTACATATTCTCAACTGTAAATAAATTTGAAGAAATTAGGAGAGTATCAACTTAGAATTGTATTATCCTTATATAAATATTTAAAAAAAAAGTTCAACGTTGATTCTTACCACTTGCTTCTGGAGCACTTGGCTGCGCAGGCGGATAAGGCGCACCCATGGCGGGATAAGGCGCTCCACCCGTCGGATACGGTGCCCCACCCGTGGGATAAGTGCTTGGATAGGGTGCCGCTGGATATGGTGCAGCGGTGGGATAGGATCCAGTAGGGTAGGGCGCTCCCGTGGGGTAAGGCGCCGGCATGGGCGTCGGGTACGGCGAACTTGCGTTTTGAACTGGATATTGTGACACTGTCGGTATGTACAAATATTAAATATGTGGAAACTAACATTGTACAAAGATGGTATACTAAGCTTTTAACCAATATAAACCATTATACCTCGAAATTTTGGAATTAAGCTTTTTAATAAAGGTATCTATTATATAATATATAAGTTAGATTAGGGTATCTACTTTTAGGTGTTCTAAATATCTTTGTTAAAAATAAAGTTAGAAATATAACTTTGCGTGTTCTGTACTTGTGATGTCAACTCTAATAATTTTACACAAGAAGCCACAAATAAACAACGATTATTACAATGAATTAGCTAATATCAATCAGTGAATATGACGGGAACCTTGAGGGAATCCGATTATACTCGTAGCAAGTCAGGCAGTGGCAATTATTATGAGCCAATTAGGACACTGAGCGGGTCAGTCCGATGAATTCACTAATTGTACTAATTAGCCCTAATACCGCTGATCCTATGTTCCGAATGATTTCATTAATTTCTATTAATGTTTTATTTCGGAAATGCGGAATATATGTTTAACTTAGCTCGCCTCTAAGCCTGCTTTTTATTTATGCTGCTGATCATTCGATTATTTTTCCTCTTAAAGAACAAAACTTATAAGGATTTTTGAAATTATTCCTTAGATTAGTTAATCAATATTAATGTTTGAACATAGAACGTTTCACAATCAGTATATATTTTTTTTCACATTATTTAACTGCAAACAAATAAGTGTTTTTGAAAAAAAAAATATTGAGAATGAAAGTTCTTACACTTTGTACGCTTGAAGCCCATTTACAGTCAACAGAAGTAGTCATCTGACATAGAGAGCTCAATCTTCTTTATTTAAAACATATAAAAGATAGATCTAAACATTGTAAAATACTAACCAGGATATTGTTGTGGAGGTGTTGGCACATATTGTTGCTGTGGGTATGGGGGATTGTTGGGTCCCGGTGGAGCAGGTACACGCACTGCTGTTGCTACAACAATAGATAGAGTATGATAACGTCCATCCCCCATTCAGTTTAATGATATCATCATGTGATTATTAGTTGTCTATTAACATAATAATGAAATACAATTCATGCCAAATACTAAAATATGTCTGTAGCAAATTCAATCAATTAATGAAGTAAAATAACTTAAGACTCCTATAATTCTAATTCTTTTCTAATCACTGAATTATAAATGTAAATAAAACTGGAACTGAGTCTTTTTTTTAAATATTTAAAGACTTTATGTCTTCATTCCCAAAATAAGTCAATACAAATGAACATAGTAAGTTAATAGTATACATTGAAACTTAGGCTACTTTTGTCCATAAAAGAAATTGATTCCAAGAAAGATTGAACAAGTATTTGTTATTATATATATATATATATAATATATATACCAAACATTGTCCATTACCATCCTCGTAGCTTTGGATATTTATAGCCAATACTTGTAACAATTGGGCTTTGGAGTTGGTTAATACAGACTTAAATAGTAATTTACTTACTTTCTACACTGAGCACTTCACCACGATTTCTGCGTCGTCGGCAACAACATGCCAGTATCATAAGCAATATGACTACTGCCACAATACCATATGCTATTGATGACATATTCATCCTGGAAAATTGTCTATGGTCCTGAAATAAGAATAACCCAGTATATATAAAAGTATATAATAAGGACAACTAACTATAGGTATACGGCATAGATTAATGCATGAATTAATATGCTTCTAATATAGGGCTACTATACAATTACAAAGTGGTAAAACTATTTCTTCTTGGTCTATAATTTTAATAAAAGTATATTAATTAATAAAATAACAAATAAAAATAAAAGAACGGCTTTCCTTGATATCTTATTTACACAGTATTCTTGTTGATTAAACAAAACATTGTATGTTATATTATGAGTACCATTGATGACTTTTATTTGTTATGTATGTACAACCAGTATTTCATGAATTTAATTAGTTTTGAATATATTCATTATATCTTTGTTACATACACTTCACCATTGGTGCTTTCCTTAAAATGTATATGTTTAGCTAACTATAATATGCATGGATGATGAGGTCATCTTTTATTTAAAAATTGTTATCATTTTACATTGTGTTCCAAACTGATATTGCACAACTTAATGTTCTATTTATTTGGACAGGATATGTTTTGAAGTAAAGTTTAGGTTCATGCAACAAGTACAACAATTTTACTTTGACACTGAAGCAATCTGTGACACAATTTAAATTCAATGCACACATCAAGGCCAAGGAAACTAATAGTGTAATAATATGTTAGAATTGGATATTCTACAGTATATTTATTAATCATAAAACAAAATACAAAAATAGATAAGTGTTAAACAAATGACTCACCTCGAAGAATTTATCAAAATCGTCGTCGAACTCTTTCGAATCAAACATAATACTATCCACAAGTACAAATCAAATCACATTTTACTAAACGGTGATACGATACGAACGATATCGAATTATTAAACGTTTGCAAAATTATTAGGTTTTCCCAGAGTTGCAGCGATAACACAATATTTATAATGTTAAGCAATAAATTACTGTTTGCTAAGTAGGTAAACTCTGCGAATAACTGCCGCGTTTTAATCTCTGTTCGTTATTATGTATCTCCAGCTTTATCGTTCAGATAAGGACTCCATTTACCTTAAAGGTGTATTGAAATTTTAAACAGTAATATGCATATAACTTCACAGTAGACATAGATTTAATAAACTAAAACTTACAATTACGATTTACAAGGAAAACATACTTTTTTACGATTGACGTATTCGCTTATGTCAAAGGGTTCTTAAAAATATTGTCAGCTGTTAAAAGACGTAACCTGACGGATGACGCTTTATTAAGCTGTATAACATCTGTGGGTTTGTTATTTCAAAAATAACCTCAAATTGCATTGTTGAATGTTTACATACTAAGTAAAATGTTAAACAATTTAACACACCTAATGTTTCCTTTAACTCTAAGAACTTTAACCGTTCGTTCACAATTGGTTCTGTCAAACAGTTTCCATACAAGTACTTTAAATTATGCTGTAAAAAAGACAACATCAGCCGCTGGCGGTAGGTATTGCACATTTCCCTAAGAATAATATAATTAAACAATGTCTATTCCCTCATTACTAGTTGAAATGGGTAAAATAAGTTAGCATACTTTCTCACATTCATGTGAGCTATGTAGCTTTTCATTTATTTTCTTCTGAAGTCATTCAAACAAGATTAAGGTACTAATTTTAAATTTATTTACCTATTCTAGGTGTACTCGGTCTTGGAAAAGGAAAGAGAAAAGGGGGAAAAGTGAGTGCAATGGAAAAGAAAACACTTCCAGTAGAGTCAGATCCAGAAAAGCTTGTAAACTTTGTTTGTGGATCTAACATTTACGTCACTGGGGAGGATGTTAAAGTAAGCTTAAATAAATATTATTGAACAAGTAGATCAAATAATTTTTAAGCACTGCCTCACAACTCATAACATAAAGTAAGTAATGTGCTAATTAGGAAAATTTTATAAAGGTTTTTAGGAAGGTTAGTTTTGTGGCATGATACACTTATTTACCAAGACATAATGAATGACTTTTTTGATAATGAGTAAAGTACTTAATTCAATAAGAGTTTACAATGACGACGCATTTTAATTTTATTTGCTGGTTAGTAGATAATTAGCCTATACACCTTTTTTTAAGGTTTAAGCCCAGAGCCTCTTCTGCTTAAATCAAATCTTTAGAACTGAGTATTTATTTCCTATTAATCATGAAATAAAATGATATTTCACAGATAAAACCTGATAGCGAGTACCCAGATTGGCTATGGACACTAAATACTGGAGCTCCACCTCGAATCGAAGACCTAGATCCTAATACTAAAGAATACTGGAAAAGAGTGCGGGCTGCTGGTATGAAGAGGAATAACAAGCTTAAATCAATGAGAAGATTTTAGTTTTATAATAACAAACAAAAATTCAATGTAAATAAGAAATATCAAATTCAACTTGATATTATAAATCTTAATCAAAATAGTGAATCATTAATATAATGCGCATTTGTTTGTTTAGCAGATAATGCCAGTAATATAAAAGTAGACCAGATACTTACTTTACTGAAACTTACGAAATCTATAAAATTCAATATCCAGTCCTGTTTCACTTTGGTGTAAACCATAGTTAAAGTTGGTAATTAAATACAAGAACTATGTAATATTTTATACAACTTGTATAAATGTAGAAAGTTATAAACTAAAAATTAAGTTATTAGATTAGTAAATAAATAATGTTTAATTGTAAATGAAGTATGATTTGGATAGTACATATAATGAATTGAACATAAATTGCTTCATAATATCTTTAGTGGAAAGGTTCACTGTTTCTTAGTATTTTGATTAAGACCTTTTTAGTAGGTTTTTTACTTTTATTACAAAATTGACAAAATTTTATTTTGACAACCAAAATGTTTGGTGTTGCGTCAAAATTATGGTGAAAATTTTTTGATGAAATTTTAAGTTTTTATTTGCTTTATAAAATTTACTGTGTAGTATGGCCTGCAAGAAACCATTAGGTAAGCGATAGAATTATAATTCTACTTATATCATACCTGGTGGAATTACTTTGTTACCTAAAACAGAGCTCAAAAATTATAATTGTATATGTAGAGTTTAAACGTTAATGGCTTTTAAAAGGACCGGGACCGGGTGCTTACAAGTTACCCACTACCGTGGGATTCCCCGACCATGACCCGTCGAGAAACAGAAGTCCTATGTACTCTTTCGGTATGAACGCTGGCGGTAGATTTAAACAGCTTGGACCTGGTCCTGCATACAAAATCGACCGCATCACGAGAGACGGACTCATTTCATCACCGGCCTGGAGTTTTGGCGCGAGGTAAACGAAAATTAGACTTTCTTGCTATACAATTAATGGTTACATTGTAAAGACCTATTTTTCCTAGATTGGTTCTTACGATTTGATTTTCGATACTTACATTCCATCATTTTGGTTATGTCTTAACAAACAGAATAATGATTTTGTTCGAACAGTTTAAATTTTATTTTATTCCTTGGGTATTCCAATCATATTACAGAAAAACAAGTGTTGTTCATTTTGTAATTGTGTACCTTACCATTACCTTGGGTTTTTCAACTTTGTCCCCATATATTTTTTTCTAGTTGTAAGTGAACCATTTTTTGCAAAGTCTAATTATTTGTTCATCATCAATTTCACCTTTGCTATATTGACAGGCGCTTCTCCCATATTTCCATGTTCCATAGCGTAGCAACACAGACAAAAGTATCATTTTTTTTCTACCCTACCACAGGCGATAATATCCATATCGTTATGATTGTAAAGGTTGCCGGGGCGTCCAGCCCTCCGAATCCCAGGGCCTGGTGCTCACGCACCGGAGCGGTGTCCGCCGATGCGCGACCCCAGAGCACCCCAGTACAGTATGGGAGCACGCCTGGGTTTCGCCCTAAAGCGGCCAGGACCGGCGCCAAACGCATACGCACTACGGTTAGGTCCTGGCACTCCAGCGTACACAATGGGCGCACGAGTGGGCTTCAATTTGAAGCCAAGATCCCCTGGCCCGGCGGTATACTTCCAACGCGACACGGACGTGTATAGAAATCGGGCGCCTATCTATAGCCTTGCGGCACGTTCGGAGGGCGCTGGAAAGGCGACGAAAACACCCGGGCCGGCAGCCTATCCGCCTAACTTGTATAACACTAAGAAGGTAGGTCGTTGAAATTGGTCAGTGTAGAAAAAGAATTCGTCTTTTATTTTGCAAAAAAAAAACTAAGATTAACCGAATAATTTATACATGAATAAAATTGGGTTCGGGATTCGCACCGCACTAGGCGTGTCTAGACTCCAGACTGCGCTATTTAAAATTGTCAATCTTATTATTCATGCAACTCTTGCGCACGTAGATACATCTGGACTCCACGTACATTTTGCACAGGTTGCATTATTCATATGCGTGTGATTTTGGAAACATTTAGATTGTTTAGTTTGTATTTAAATAAGTGCAATGCATATAATGCATAAAATGTAAATGTAATAAGTAGTAATTTTTTTATATATTTTTACTCTCCACTGACGTAATTTTTAGTAAAAGACTTATAACTAACCTTTTCCGTAATTCTTCACAGAACCCATACGCATATTCGTTCGGCACGAAGCACGCAGACTACGCGTGCCCCATGATAATCAAAGAAGACACGATGGACTGTCTTTAAGTTTTCGTCCAGAATTTTGATCGAAACGAGATTCTTCACGACAACGTCCATTTAAAAACTAAGTATAAAATCGTAAAACTTAGTGCAAAATGTGTTTACAGTTTGTCGGTACATTGCTGTTCGCTTTTTGAATTGTCTAACTTGTTCGGTTATTGTGTAAGTTTGGTTTTGTATAATAAAACATATCGGTAAGGGTTCGTTCGGTTTTAATTACGTCAAAATGTAAATAGTTTGTTATTATACAAATATAGTGTATTGATACACACAAACTCACTGTGTGTGTTAGGACATAAAGCAACAGGGGCAACATACGTTAACGCACCTAAGTATGTTAGCAAGACTCCGAAATTCTACTTAAAAAAGAGATAAAAAGCTTTGAAACAGTGCTTTAACGTGATTGGTGTACATATAGTAGTTAATTGCTATAAGATCAATGTAAAGTACTTGATTTGCTAGTGCCTTTGATGATGGGCCCAAGTGGAGTTAACTCAGAACCCATGCTATCTTCGTCGTCGCCGCTGTGAGCCCACTGAAAAAATAAACCATAAATTACATACAGGTTAAATATCCAATTATTAAAAAAATATTTTTAAGGAGGCATTCAAAATATGTAGTCTCTTGAATTAAAGAGTTTTTTTTTTTGGGAACTGACCTGTTCTGACAGCGGGTATTTCCGGAGATGTCTATATAGCGCCGCAGCGTAAAGCAAGTTGATAACGCCTAACGCGCGTAGACATGTTTCGAATCCGACACACCATGACGCTAAACCGCCCAACACTGGACCTAAATTTACAAATTGAGAAGCCTCAGTCAAAATGCATTATTGAATTAAAAAGAATATTACTATGGAAGTACTTATGAAGATCATTCCAACAATTTTCAACTTCTTAGATATGTCTGGCTATTTACATATATGGTTAATACGGTACCAATAGCAAAAGCAGCGCTAGCAGCAGATTGAAGCAGCGCCGCACGGTGAGGAAGGCGTGCTGGTGTCGAATGAGCCAGCAGAGCCGGGACTAACGCTGCGTCCACCGCACCCACTCCTGCTCCAGCCACCGCTTCGCATCCAGCCACGGCAACCAAAGACTGAGCTATTGCAGCGGATATTGCCCCAAATCCCACACTTGCCAATCCCCAAACCGCCACACTTGTCCCGCTTCCACAAGCTGGTACAACGCTTGTACTGACCAGGTAGCCTATGCTGTCTGGGACGAAGACAGCACCCAAGGCCCATCGCTGCAACATATCATAAAGAGCATATTCTTATAGAGACGAAAAGTCTTTAGGTAAGGGTTTTTTCGTCTCTGTCAGCTTATTCAATAAGTATTGAAAAATTTGGTACATATTATACATGCCTAAACATACTTGTTTACATGTAGTAGCTACCTTGCAAATATGTTTTAATACTAAATATATATTTTTTAGGTAAACAAAAATATTACAAACTTCAGGTTTCATAACATAATATAGTTCCCTAGAATTTCCTATTAAATTTTAGTAACACATACTTGTGGGTGAAACTTGTGTTCAATCCAGAGCGGCAGGCACGGCTCAAGCGCTGCCATCACGCCGGTACTAACAAACACTGCCCCAGCCCCAGCTCCCGCACCACCAACTCCTCGGCACTCACACCACATTTCGCGTAAACTACTACTCCACGCCATACTTCGTTCCTCCTCGTCATCCGGTCTCTGATCCAATACATTGGCATTTTATTAGTACTTAGAAGATTCTTTCCACTTTGTTTGCTTCTAAATCTTACCTCATTATACTCCGTCTTGTTTAAAAACATGTATTGTAGCCCTGAAAATACAGTGATCAATATAACTATAGGTATAGGGTACAGATTACAAAGAAGAGTATGCCTTGTGTAAAATACCTAGTCGTCAAGTTGTGCAGTACCTAATATTTCTCCTTCTCTTTCGTCCCCCTGTATTTATTGTTATACTTAAAACAATAAAAAAATGTTATACATCTATCAATACCAAAGTGTCGTTACCAAGATTTGTGAACAGGGTAAGTGCTATAAGCTGGAATGGCGCGGCTGGACTCCATAGTTTGTAAGCGGCGCCACCAAAGGGGTATCCCACTAGAACACCTGAAATTAGAATAACAGAGACTTACACGTCTATACACGTCAATCAATCTTTAAGAAACACTATTGACATTTAGAGTAGGAATTTTTTATGGCCCTTTGGAAACGGCATATAACTTGACATTAAGCTCTACATACTATATATATATTGAACTAATAATACTATAAGAGCAAAGATCTTCACACGTACCAAGTGCAACAGCACCTAGTAGAGCGGATAACGCGCTATGCCGGCGGGCAGGCCGTAACGCACGTGATACCAGGGCCATGCCCGCTACACCACCCAAGGCTCCACCGCATCCCTGAATACCACGCCCAACACCCGCGCATACAGCACAACCTACACCGCCACTATCTGACAGTTTACCGCACCATGCAAAAACTAACGGCAAAAATAGGTTATCATTTCAGTAAATAAAATTTTGTTAAATAATTATCAGCCTTTAGGAGCCTTCCTCCACCAAAAACCATTTGTGAGATGAAGACAAAGACAAATATTTTCTTTCGATATTGTCAAATACTGGCTAGTTACTTACCAAGTGCCGCTACAGCCAAAGATAAAGTAGCTAGTCGAAGCGATCGAGCTGGTCCCAGACGAAGTGTCAGCACGGCAGCAGCTGGTGCGGCAGCCAGCTGAGCAGCAGAACGGGCACCTAGCACAATCCCCACTGCTGCTTGGGCTCCTCCGGAACCAGCCTCGCTTGCTGCTACAGTGCGGTTGAGTAGCGAAGCTAATGGCGCTCCTTGTTGTCTCCATAGAGCTAGTGCTTCTCCTCTTACCCAATCAGGAATTATGGGCACTAAGTGAATATATAATACTTTGACATTAGGAACCACCTGCGACCACGACTGCTGCAAAGCATCCGAAACTTCAGGCCGTACGTGGTTAAAATAATTTATAAATAAATTTAACCAATACATTTGCGTTTTAAACACATAGGTTAAATTTTTTTTCTAGAAAAGTTATTAAATTCTACATGCCGTGTGAAATAATGGAAGAAAATGGTAAAAACCAACCTAACACGGTGAGTAGCACGTTATCAAGAAAGAGTGTAAAGTAAACTAAAAGGAAGGCCGAAAGACCAGAGCCAGAATCCAGCTCTAGATACGTCATGTTGTCCCGAGAATTGCCACCGCACAACACTACTGAATCTTCAGTTCAGCCAGTTTAATACGATTAGGGTTGTACTCCATTGGCGGAATAGTATAGCTTTAATATCGCTCCTTATAGATATTTACATAACTATATTACGTATATATCTAATTTCTGTGCCGGAGTTTTAGTTTTATGACAAATATATAATTTATGAATAAGTATGAACAATATATATTCTAGCGTAAAAAAATATTAGGACGAGCGGCAGCTTAGTTGATAGAGATCAGCCCGTGTCATATTTTCAAATTAAGTTAGTTGTTTTTTTATTAGTATAAAGACGTGACGTACATTATTATTTTCACTTAAAGTAGTAAGTTTTTAAAGGAATTTTTAGTCAATGTCTAAAATATATCGCAATGATTATCATTGGGCATCCTGGAGGAACAGGCTGCGAATCCGGGCTCAGCTGATAACGCGTATTCAATCAGCGGTTACTGGTGCGTGTGTTCACGCCTAAAGCTTGGCTATTGAGCCGCAATGCAATTTAACGCCTCGCAAGTAACACCTTTAAGGCTTTAACGGATAAATTATAAAACGTTCAACACAACGGATAGGTATGTGTGGAATACGAATAAATTATTGCCATTAAACACTTTTGAAAGTACTGCCTGTAGTTTACGCGAGTACGTTTTGAAATAAACTTTTAACAGTTTAACTGCTACGCTAGCGCCATCTGTGCCGTCGTAGTAGATATTTAGCGAAACTGGGTGTGGCCTTGCAACTTTTGTTTACTTTACCACTTTAGGAACCAATTTATAAATAAATTTACCCAATTCATTTGCGTTTTAAACAGTTAAATGTTTTATTTAAACTTGTAATGGTTCATCTCTACTTAATGTAAGCATTTCCGTAAATGACAGGCGAAAAGATTTGAAATACCCCTCCAAGTATGCAATTGTAAAGTTAAATATTATTCTACAAAGAATATGTACGTAAGTATAAAGTCGTACACAGCTAATTCGGATTGGAGTGTGAATATGAGTCTCTTATAATTATTGTATATTTTCATCGATAGTGTAAATAGTAAGAGTAATATTGTTTCGTTTATATTAATAATCTTATAAATATTCCAGTTATCACATAAAATTTCGAGAAAGTTTTCTGTTGTATCTTGAGACATGAGGTGTAAAAAGGTATGAATTAAAAAAGAAAAACTAAATTACTTTAGAATAAGTATATTGTATATTTATTATTTACATGAGAATTGTTACAATGTCAATTTATATGTTTCGATAAACATTCGATTACACTTTTTGGTAAACAATTACGCGCCGTTACCATGGCGCGTCTATAGTTGTGACATGCGATTACCGCAAATTGTAATGCGGATAATATTGGCTTATAAATAAACGTATAAGAGTAAAACGGTGCTATAACATAGCACTTAGTAGGACCAGCCTATTCGATTCTGCAGTCTATTTAAATGAGTATGTTGTTAGATTGTGCATATTATGTTGTTGTTGTATTTCGAAAACAAAATGTTCTGTCACTGAGACTGGTTGGTACTGGTCGTATTCCGTTTAATATGGCTTAGTCGCTCAACGTGCGCTTACAATAACTTAAAAAAAATATCTTTACGTAATAGCCAATGCGCGCGCTGAGCAAGACGCCTAATCGTTCCGTCTCCCAAAATTAATTTTTACAACGTACCACTTTTAAAAATACTACCATCATTAGAGTTAATAATCTCACTGCACTTCAGGCTAGCTGTTCTTGTGTTAGCTGTAACTGGCAACGCACCGGATACTTGGATTAGTTAAGTAGTAACTTAATAAATAATGAGAATCGTACTGGGAGACGGACCGAAAATAATAACTTAAATTATATAAAAAATATCGTCAAAAATATAAAAATTACTGTATATACAGAAAAAATAATCTTCGAGACAACATATGGCCATATGGCAAAAATACGGACTCTACAAAAATACGCGACTGGTTCGAGAAGAAAATAATATCTGTTTATGGCATTTCGTTTGTATCATAGTCACAGAGGACGAGGTATGTAAATTAACCGGCGCACTTCGTTTTGCCGTCGAGTAGCTTCCGCCAAAGGTCGAATTGTTCGTGGAACTGCACCATGTGTATCGAGATAGCACGCTGGACGGCGCACGGATGTGCTGCTACTTTTTTGTTGTAGAATTCGGGGGCATGTACGCGGCGCACACCCAGCTTTGCTGACAGCACGCCAGTTAGGAAGACATCTTCCAAACGTAAGTATGGAGCTTTCGGTGCTGCCGCCAACAATTTTCGCGCTGTATCGCGAGTCACTAAGTACGCGGGGCCCGTGGCGAATTCTGGAAACACTTTACCCGGAAACTGTGCGGGCGACACGTAATACTTCGACTTCGTTGTGCGCTTCGGTAGAGATTTCTTGATAACCTTGCCCCAGATTGTGTTCGTCGCGTTCGCGCGGGCTGCTGCGAACCGTAGCAGCCGCGGCACATTGATGAACATATCATCGTCTGTCTTGAGTAAGTGCGGCACGCGTGGACAGTACGTGTCTGCCCATTCCAGTAACGACACGGTCTTCAACGTTAAGTTAGAATAGGAGTCTAACGAGCGGCCCACCACGAGGTCTCCGTAGAGCGCGTCTTCAGCGTCTAAAGCGGCACGCAGAGATTCAGGCGCTCTTCCCAGAACGAAGGCGAAGGCTATGTCGCGTCGCGCCGCGTAATGGCCCCAAGTGAGACGGACGGCATCTCTGGCTCGCGTGTGGTTCGGAGCAGACGTGACCATGATGAGTACCTTGATGTGCGCGCCGAGTGCGGGACATAATTCAGGGTGCGGGCGTTCGTGTCCTGCCTCGTACAAGTCGCTGACGAGCTGAATATGCGGTCCGGTGGCAGTGCGCTGGGAGGAGTGCGGCGGGGGCGGGGGTGTCGTGCGCGTAATGTTGTCCGGCGGGCGAACGCGGGGGCGAGTGCTCGTCGTGTTGACGTCACTCTGCGTTATAGGTGCGGAAGCGGGTGCCGGTCGGGGAACGGGTGGTGGGGGCGCGCGCGCGGCGAGCAGCAGCAGCAGCAGCACGCCACAAGCGAAAAGCGCCGCCGCGTGCGCGCGCCGCACCGACACGCACGCGCCGCCGGACATGGCGCGACAGCACACGCTCACATGCACAAGTCCACCTTCAAAAGAAATAACATCATTTTAATCAAAATCAAATACAAGCATCCCGTATAAATAAACTAGCTGTCGCAGCGCACACTACGGGAACCCCCAAAGATGAATCATTTTCCCCGTGTTTTTCACATTCCCTACTGTTAGTCACTGTAATCGCAGCGCGATGTTTTTTAGCCTAAGGCTTTCCCCAATAAATCCTCTAACCAACACAAAAAATAACTTTTCCAATTTGAACCGGTAGTCTCTGAGATTAGTTTTTTAACAACCGCGTTTTAACAAACTCTTCAGCATTATAATATTAGTATAGATGAATAAACTAACCGGAAACTAACTCTTGTATTAATTTGTATTTACAAACACATTTTGAACGCAATATCGCAATTGTAAGGAAGAGGTCGTAATGCAGCCTTCTAAGAACTGCAAATTCTCAGCGAAGCTGTCCAACCGGAACATCCGAGCGAATGAATCACGCGATAGATCGCAAACAACTGACGATTAAAAAATAATTGATAGAAGAACAAGAGGCCGTGCGACCTTCTTACTTCGTGAGTCTCGCGGCCATAACATGAAGTACCAGAAGTTCGTGAGGCGGGGATCACCAAATACAAATAATATTCAAATTACATGTGACTTCCTGGCGATCGCAGATAACGTACCCGTTTCCTAGATTTGATGTTAAATTTATCGAATCGACATTGCATCGAGATAGAGATTCTAATTAACATGAAAACACTATATAGATAATAATCTAATCGAAAATTAGTTATTGACGATTTTTTTATGGCGATCTTGGTATAACGTTCAAATTGTCGCCTCCATTATGCTTTATAAATTGTATACGTGCTTTTGCGAGTATTCTTTATAAAATAAAACATTTAAAAAGTAAACAAACGGTTAATTGCTATTTGATAGCAAGTACAGTGCACTTCTCTTTTCGTAAACATAAAGTATTAATTAATTGTTTTATTGGCTATTAAGTTATTAATAGCGTGTAATAGAAAATGTTTGTCTGTAGTCTGTTACTTTAAAGCATCGCTTGTAGTTAATACGAGTAGTACAAATTAAATAAAATGATTTTTAACTTCGGCCCGACGTTTCGGATGCTTTGCAGCAGCCGTAGTCTACCCGTGACCACGGCTGCTGCAAAGCATCCGAAACGTTTAACTAATATATCGCGTTTTAAACCGTTAAAGTGTTTTATTTAAAAGTGCACTACTCGCGTAAACTATAGACAGTATTTAAATAAAACGTTTTTAACGGTGTGAAGCGCGAAATGTATTTGGTAATTTAACTACGACCTGTTAGCTGCAGCCACGTAAATTAGTAAGCATTTTCTATTCTTCAAAGAAAACAACTTAACCTTTTATAGACTGAATAAAATCTCACAACTCGATTGACTCTTAAACACGTCATCTCTCAACATTGAAAGTTATTTCGAAATGCAAAAGCTAGTCAGCGTACTTACACAGTTAAAACAACAAGCAGAGAACCAGTTGTACACCTTAACTAGACCACTTCGCATTCCACAATAATATTATACGATAGCACAGGGTGCTAACTGCGTATGCGCAGCGTTAATGTTAGCAGTAGAGACGACCACCGAGCAACGTCCACGATATTAAATACTAAGACAAATATTACACAAGTAGGTAAAACGTAAATTACTATCAAGGCTATAGATTTTTTACAATCGGATAAAAGCATTGAATTCAATTTAAGTCATCTTCGGATGGTTATTATCTGCGTAACCACAGTGATGCAACAGCACTCTGCTCGTGAAGAAATATTTATTTAGTGGTATATTTTACTATTAAGATGATTGTCACGAAGGCAAGAATATTTCTGGTATGAAAAAAACTTTGGAAGACGAAAGACAGCGTCTAGCAGGCGCTATTTTCTATAACATTTAATGGAGAAATAAAACTTTTTTAAATGATAATGTATTATAATGATAGGTGAAATACTCAAGCCATATAACTACGATCCAAGGTGTGCTGTCGACTTATTTTGGCTTTAAATATTTGGAAATCGACAGATTAAAACCGAAACGTAATTAACCTTCATGGCTTTGTAATCTGCAGATGGTGGTTTGTGAGCCGGGCGGAATTACGACATTACTCCCATCATATAACTACCCATTCAATATCCGGATTTTCAGACGAGATCCAACATGTTTCAAAAAAAATATAAATTGAGAGATTAACGAGCGCGTCCAAAACACGAAGGTCCGCTAGACATCGACTGCACATTTTAAGCACGAGTGCAAGACCAAAAATACAGTCACAATATTTTCTAATTAAACGTTTGAGACGGGCATTACTTGCAAATTTATCGTCCGATACATTGAGGTAATTGTCCTCGTGCGTCACAGCGGGCAAGTCTCAGTTGTCAGGTACGTCGGGTCGAAGCCCTCTCTCCAGCTAACGGGACCAACATACACTGAGACCTCGCTCAAGGACAGACGATAGAATTTATGAATTGGTTTTGCATCGATTACCCGACCTCGGTACCCCGATATAGATTTTTTTAGTCTGTAGATGAAAACTGTTCGATCAAAATTTATTAACATGGCTGTCCTGTTAGAAAATAGAGGACGACACATAGGTAGGTGGCTTTTTTTTTAAATAATAACAATATTTAAAAAACAAACTTATGTGCGAAGTAACATTATGTAAGTTTTCGTTAGACCAAGAGGTAGTTTTTAGTATATGAGCGTTAGTTTTGTGTGTTTTGTAATCATACTTTGTACCATGGCACAAAACTACTCAAATTCATCGTTTTTCGAACATTCTCATGACCGTACTATAACTAGTGAAAACATAAACTATGACCGTGGTAACCGTAAACGCATATACAAAGGGAGCCTTGGAAATTTAATACCAATGCTTGGTGACAATGCTGAGTATTTTTATGAGCATAAAATATACACTCGTGACTTAATAATAGAAATAAATCCAAGTGACAGATATTTTTCTATTCCTTTAAGAGAACAGTAGTATGTAAGAGTACATACTTGTAATCTTACATACTACATACAAGACACTACTATAAATTTAGAACGAAAATAAGACAATAACACATGGGTTTTAAGAGATTAAGTTGTATTGTTATTAGTTTTTTTTGTCACTTAATAAGACCCATAACGCAATTGTAAACAATATAAGTATAATAATTGACTGCGAAGTTACTCTGATCTTGGTCAGTTTCTTTCGAGAACATGTCTTAAATTCAAATTCTGTTATTCAAATATTCCGGGAGTTATAACTTACCAGAAGAAGCTTTTGAATATTTTGCAGAACAAAGGACTCTTCTTTTAAAATTTAACTATGATGTAAAAGAATACCTATTAATTTGTATAGGAACTTAAGTTTCAAAAAGCCAAAGTTACGGCTTTAATAATATTAAAACTTAATAGGTTGTGTAAGCTTTTCACGGCCATCGGTCAGCATATTATTGTATTTCGGGGTGTTGGTCCGAAGTATTTCGAAGAATTACGGGCATAATAAGTCTTCAAGCAATCGAGGAGCTAACAACATCTCCGTATGATGCCGTCCCTCGTGATGGCGAAACGTCGAGAAACTCTTCTCGCTCACGTCGGCTGAACAGCCCGAAAAACAATGATTAGTTTATCATACTTAAAAACTGTCTGTTGTTTACGCGAGTAGTACACATTGAAATAAAACTTTAACGGTTTAAAACGAGATATATTTTAGTTAAACTTGTTCAATAATTATTTTTAACTATGGCCCGACGTTTCGGATGCTTTGCAGCACTAAATCATTAAAATGTTTTATTTAAATACTAAAACTGACTTAATTTTGTCTAGTTAAGAAAACATACTTTGAAACATTCTTATTTTCACATATTATTTGACAAGATAGATATACTAAACTAAAAAAATCTATATACTCTACGCAAAACAGTCTTCATTCATTCAAACATAATTATTATATATGCGAAAATTCAAGTTATATATGTAGAAGACGTAACCAAAAGGACAAATAAATTCCCTTGACGATTTGCTACCCGTATCGGTTCCACTTGTGGTTATGTAGGTAAGATGCGCCTGCGCCTACAATAAACATTGTTACACAATATTTTGCTTCGAGTACATTATTATGATAATTAATTAACGAACCGTTACACGAGTGTCGTATTCAAACAATGCTACTAACGTATGTGTACTGACAGCTGGTCCTACTTCCGTTTCCAATAATAGCTATTTTGCGTTTATTTAACCAATGTTCTAAAACAAATATAACGGGTTAAAAAAAACGATCTACATGACAATTTTTTTCACTAAGATTCGCTGCATTTAACAAGGAAAGCATAGTAATTATCAAAAGTTGAGTCATAAAGTACTTACTTAACTAAGTTTCTTTCGCGTAAACTACAGATGGATCTTGGTGAATTAGCATTGTTAATTTTGATGATTCATTCTAAAATTGAACTTATGTTATACTTAATAGCTCCTGTTTTAACACTTACATGTATTTGCGGGTGGGGTTCGAACCCCATCTGAAATAAATTCAAATATTCGAACGACGTACGAACAATATTCGTGGTCGCGATTCTGGGGCGAGCATTCGTAAATTGCCAGTCTTTATTCACACACTACGAAAATCACAAGCATAAACGACGTCAACACAAGCATATAGCTATCAGACTAAATTATTTAATTACTTAAAGGTTTTTTCCTGGTTTTACAGTCATAATTTTAATAAACTTCTATATAAGCCACTGTGCTGATATACATTGTGATAAATTTTGCTTTTGATAATTTCTGTACGATAAGATAAATATATGTAACATCCTTACAAAAATTGTGTTCATTGTCAATTGTTATAACTTACTTTGTGATAAGATTACTTATTACATCATTTGGAAGTATCGAAAAAGTAAAAAATATTATAGCTATGGCTAAAAAATATAATAAGCTTAAAATTTAATAAACTTCAGCTTGTTTTTCTTTAACTTTAAAAGAATAATAACTGTAAAGTTTTACACCTAAATATTGAGTAACGGATATATCAACAGACAGCGTGGCACCAAAAACTAAATCACGGCTTCTATGAATTTTTGAACAGTACATGAATTGTAAGCAGCAAACTTACAACCCATCGTTACACACAAAACTTATCGATATTTTATAAAACACCAACGAACCTAGTTAATTAAATCATGATTAAAAATGTTAACTTAATCAGTGACGTCACTGTGGTCCTTGAATTTTGAGGCCGCGATTCTGCGAGTTACCAGCAATTAAATATTAAAATGAAAGGGAATAGCGAAACAGGTTTTAAATGAGACGAGATGCTAGTTCATGATTTCCGTGTGCCGAGTTAAGTATGTCAATGACACCACACTTCACAGCTCACATCAACACAAACGTAGAGCTTTCGTTGTCAGCACAATTATAAGCGGGGAACAGCAAATCGCGAACGTTTTGAAGAGATAACTGCGTTTTAGTACACGTACATTGCTAGAAGCCATATATACAAAGCTTTTTCAAGCTTGTAGCAACGCTACGTAGACTTAAAAGCTCTATCATCCCAAAATAATTGTATAAATTAAAAAGTTACGACTTGAGCAGGGCTTGAACCGGCATCCACAGCGTTCCGCGTTGTTGCCCCGACAAATCGAATCGAAAATGTTTTCAATTTATAATTGTTTTTTTAATTTATATAGTGCCATCATGTGCAACAAAATGTTGAGTAATTAGAGTTGATTATTGTCATTTTTTTCGTAACGTTTTTCTATAAAAATTAAGCAGTTCAAATTTTAAATTTAGAACATATTCAGAATATGATCATGTATAACTTTAAAAAAAGAAAATCGTTCGTTCTTTATTGCGTCTACATCTTATATAAAAATAAATGTAGTTGTTTTGTTAAGTTTCAATTGGCATAACGTTTAATTTGATCGACTTAGCCCAGTAAACACAATTTATCGATTTGGCACATTTATACAGATTCGTAAACAACCCCCGAGCAACTCCATTCATTATTGTGCAAGTTTCAATAGGAAAACGCACTGCATCGCGTTTTGATTGTTTGTGTATACTTTAAGCTTTTTTGGAATTCACAAAATATTTAAATTGCTATATATGTGCTATGAACTATCTGATATTTTTAATCTGTAGTAACTTTATGTACTTAGTTTAGCATATTTACTGTTACTTATCACATTGGTTCTTACAAGGTGATAAGTAACAGTAAATAAAAAAGTGATCTCCTTAGATCTAAGTCTATATTTTCCAAGCTGGCGATCAGGTAAAAAAAATATAGCGTCATCAGAAGTAATATGACTGACCAGCTTGGGGGATTAACTGTGATGCACATAGCTTCAGTCTCGTCTCAAGAGTACAGGAAATGAGTCCCTACTGCGCAGAAAAGGATATGCATCGATTTTAAAGACTTAAATGCAATATAGGTACCTATATCGTCAGCTTATAATAACCCTTTTAGAGAGGAAGAAGAACAATGATGCGACTGAAACTTAATTAAGAGATTATATAGAGAATTAAGTTTGCTAATTTATTTCGGTTACAATCAACTTCTCTCGATTAAGTTATACACTAGCTGTTCCAGCGACTTCGTCCGCGTAGTATATTTTGGGTATCAAAGCTTTTTTTTTGCACACCTCATCCTTCTCAATGATTCGCTGTCCTCGTCTTTATAAATATGCGACTTCGTCCTCGTCCCATTGTTGTTGCGAGTTAATCTTAAAAGATTTTTTTTAAATAATTTATTGGTCGCAGCGTAAAGCCTTCCTCAATAAACGCTCTAACCAACGCAAAAATATTTTCTCAATTCGAACTAGTAATTCCTCAGATTAGCGCGTTCAAATAAACAAACAAACTCTTCATCAACATATTCAAAATTAATTAAATAATCCAACAGAAGGGTAAGATGGTGTTTGAATTCAAGTTACTATCATTATGGACATGATTATTATCGTCGCGACGACGAACTGCAACAGGCTCTAAGTATTTATAGTAACACAACTCTTCCCTTCAAACCGGAATATTATCAGTCGACAATAATAGCTTCTAAGTAATATGTAAAAGGTCTGCGATATTTTAATCTCTAGCTTTTTAAGAAAGATGGATTTGTAAGGTATGTGAAATTTTTAATAGTATTAAGCCAATTTATAGAACTTATGTATGAAATGTTTATATTGTGCTACAAGTGTCTTTTAATTTAAGGGATGGAAAATATTGACAATTAACTTAAAATCGTACTCATATTAACAGATTTGACACCCAAATTGCTTATTGTTATGCATCTACATTTCACCTTCATCGTCACTAGATCAGAGTTCATATCATTGATTAAACTACTTGATATTTCAGAAAATTAATTCACTTAAAAAACATACAATGATATGAGTGAATATCTTTTTTGATAAATTACATTATACTTGCTGTGTATGGTTGTCAAACTTGTGGTTTGTCAAAGAAGTATTTAAAAAAGATTGTAGTTATATATGTTTGTGAGCACAACACAATAAACAATACCAATTAAACACATGCTCATTACATAATAATTTCCTAATTATAATGTTCATTATTGCTTATCAAACACAATAGTGTGACGTGATTACATATTGTATTTAGTGAAGGCTCTTGATTCAGGTTTTATAAATCTAATTAAACAAATTTAATTTTAAGTTGATAAGGTTTCTATACCAAATAAATCTCATTTTTTAGGATACACAACCAGAACTACTACAATCTTAATGATATGCCAAGAAATGCATTTAGCCGATGAACTTGTCATTTGAAATATTACTTTAATTAAGCAAAGACCTGGTTTGCACCTTCGTAAAGGTAAAGGATAACTGACTTATATTAATTTCAAAATACTTTGAAAGAACCTCTTCTTCATCATAGGATAGTATAATGATTTCCAAGAATATAAATACTATCAGAACAGACTCTGTAATCTAGTAATACCTATGAATACAACAACCTCAAATATACAAACACATTTTTAACAATTTATACAAATTTAACTGTTAAAATCTTCAATAATAAATGCAAATAATTTTATTTACATGTGTAGATAAGGGGAAAGTACGACTGGTTAAATAATAAGATGAAATACTGGGATTTCCTGATTATTTTTAGTCTTTGCTTCTATCTTTATGATGTTATTTGTTTCTCAACATGTTCAACCTTTAAGTTGAAATGATGAAGTAATCTTTCTATCTAAGAAATTTGTTTGAACAAGAAAGTATTCCTAGTTATTCTTTAAAATTCATTATTTATTTATTAGTAAAGCGTAACTTTAATAAATGAAATCTTATAAGAAATTAATAGATTAAGTAGTGACTAGGAGTGTTATTTAAATTAAATTAGCATAAAGATAAGAAAATACTCTGCCCAAAAAATATGTAGTCTAAAAGTTTACTTAAATACTGATAAAACTTACCATTTTTGTGTGGCGCAGGACTAGCTGTGAAGCCAGGAAGTAGACCCTTACGTCTAAAAGAAAACCAGCCCGATAAAATGCACGACTAAAATCGCCTTCAAGCTCACACTTACACAAAAATTCTCAATCTGCTGAAGGAAAATATTTAACTAGCTTTCGAAAATCCGATTATTTCAGGAATTTATCATACAAATCGGCACAACTAAGCACAACCTTCCGCCCTCCAATCTCAAATCTCTATTAATCAATGATTGTCAGTTGTCAATGGTAGAGTCTGGCAGAATTGTCAAACGTCAGTTATCAAATCTTGATTAGTCTCCTTTTCTGTCTTGGCGTTAATTTAGTTTGACAGCCATTATTGATTATAATATGACATACTAGACCATAAAATATTATTTAAAAAAAGATTATACGATTGTCAGTTTCATGCTAATGTAAAAAATTTTAATTTTTGAAATTTGACTGAGATACGCGCGATTTGCAAAAAAATATTGTGTTTTAGCTTCGGATACACTTTTGACACTATTGCGACGTTTTGGTATTAGTTTAAGACTATAATAGTTTTTCATATAATATAATTCATAATAAGAGTTTTTTTTTTAATAAAATTGTCTTTAACGTAAAAAAATTAAAAACAGATGATTTTGTTATCATTTGAGCAATTATTCAAAATCTGATTTTATCTCAGAAACGGGATAGCTTTTCCTCTACAATATGCCATTCTTTCAGCTATGCACTATTTTGGCAACATTTAAAATGCCTAATAGAGAATCAGGTTGTAAGAAAATCCGCAAAAAATGCACTTCTCTCTGAGCTATGTTAAAGCTCTTCTGCTTCGTTAGGTAAAGTAGCTTTTATTTATTATTTAAGGATTTTTTATAAGGTGACTTTATTGAAAAATGCTTCTAGATGATTCAAACAATCTAATATAAAAACACTCATTAGAGATTTTGTAGATTTTTCTGCCTGAAGCCAAGTTATAAGCACGATTTTAAGGATCTCAACCAAAAATAATACTATCATTAGGCATCAATGAAGACAAGGCATAATTAATATTTTATTTCAACATTCTTTTTCACATCATTCACAATTTTACAACCTTTTTTACAAACAATAATAATCTCTCCCGGAATGCTTGCAAGTACACATTCGTAGTTTACTTCTATCAAAACTATTTAACATTATTTACAAAATTACTTACAATAATATGTACAAAAAGCGATCACACTAATGTAATAAATAGTTAACTAATTCGTAAGGCGGCCGCTGGCTCTAAACTAGCACGGTGAGTCGTTCGGGAGGTGGGTGCGGATGCGGATGAGGTGGTAGTGCACGTTTCGTCAGCTCCTTGTCCCGTGGTGGTGTGTTATTCCTCGCATCTGCATTTTGAGCCTTGTAGAGAGAGTGCGCTCGCGGCAAAGAATCTGTCTCGCGCCCAGCAACAGTACCAGTAGTCCCGCCCAACGGGTTTGCGTAGCGTCGCAAGTTTTCTTCGTTCTGCAGGTTGTTCGATTTCTCCTCGTCGTGGCGTCGAGAGCGTTCTTCCGCGGCAGCTGCAGCTGTTCGTCGGCGTCGTATCAACAGGAACGCGGCCACGGCGGCACCTAAAAGTAACAGCGGTGCAGTGGCTGCTAGGGCTAGCAGAGCGCCGGAGTTGGCAGTTGAGGATGAGGCTGGTGGTGCAGCAGCAGGTTGAGCGGCGGGTGGCGTAGCGGGTTGTGCATGCGGGTGGAGACGCAATCGCAGTGCTGCTCCCAGCAATGCATGATGCGCTAGTCGACGCCGCGACACCAGTTCGCTTAGAGCGCGTATAGCACTTGACACAGCGCTATTCTCTTCGTCACTCGGGGCCTCTCTGCTTTCCTCCTCGCCAGCCCACTGTAATAGCACGTGTTTTTTTACAATGTGTAGTTATTCACACCTGATGGTTAGTTAGTGCGCATTATACTTTTTATTATCTTTACAAAACTAAATATGATAAGAAACAAAATGAAAAAATATTTAAATGGTTTTCAATATTTAAATAAAATAAATATGTGGGTACACTACACTCAATGCATAATGAGTAGTAAGTTCATACAACACATCGAAAATATAATAGTAAAGTTATGGACCAATGTTTTTACACTTACAATTGCCAAGTCAAGGGCGTCGTCATCATCAGGTGCGAGATCACAGAGTAAAGTGAGCGGTGGAGCGGGTGGCATGCGGTCCGCAAGTGCAGCTGCCAGGGCACGCCGCAATGCTGAACACGCACGTTCCACATGAGCGCCACGCGCTAGTCTTTCACGTGCTAGGCGTAGTTCAGCTCGAGCGCAACCCGGCGGTGGGGGGCCGCGAGCACCAGGCCAGCAGGAAGATGGCGCTGGTAATGCAGGAGGTTCCACGCGCCGCCCTGCCACACGCCGACACTCGCCTAAAGGCGCGCAAGGTGGCCTCAAGCAAAGTGCTGGTGCAGCTGGCACACAGACTTCATCTGCGCGACAGGGCGGGGCAGTTTGACCCGGTGAAGCGAGACAATCAGGCAATCCGCACCATAGTCGTGTACAAGCGGGTGCTCCCGAGACGCATCGGCATGCGTTGCAGCCCCACCACCAAGTGCCGTTATCCGCACCGCACTCTCCGACTGAACCTGCTGTGCCGCCTACTCCAGCTCCTAACGTTTCCAAGCCCCCTTCAACTACTTCTGTTACTTCACCGCTCTCTTCGCCAAGACCAGCTATTACTAAAATGTGGAAAGAAAGTGTGTTTAATACCATTTTTTATATCTTGAGTTATGGACAAAAACATAACCGAATGGTTAGAAAGGGGCTATAAAAGTAACAAAGGAAGACAGATTAGGAGATGAAAAGATGAAATTCATAGGTCAGCAGGCCCAGGATGGACAAGTTTAGCCCAAAAAACACGCATGTAGAGTAAAGTAAAGTAGTAATAAAGTCTTATTTTTTTAATTATTTTTATTATACAAAATCATGGACAATGAATAATCTTATACGAATGAATATACCCCTAGCGGTTTAAACTAAACAAATAATTTAACGGAGATTAACTAAAACTAAAAGTTACTTATTAAATAACTTGTATATAAATAAAAACAACTATAGAAGAAATGTATGATAATTGAATTGCACAACTTACGTTCCAAGCAGCGTCTGGCGAGGCGCGCTGGAGGTGATGGACACACGCAACGAGCAGCTGAAGCGGCTGGTGCGCAAATTGCAGGTGTCGGACAGGGCGGGTCGCAGAGCGGCGTAGAACAATCTGGTCCGGCCCAGCCTGGTGCACACTCGCAAGCCCACCAACCCGCGCCACCCACGCAGCGAGCACCGCGTCGGCAGGGATTCGATGCGCAACCGTCCGCTGCACGTTCACATCGCGGTCCACCCCATCCACCACGACATGCACAAGCCCATACCCCCTCGACGGAGACGCATGTGCCACCATGTTGACATGAGCAGCCAGCCTCGCTTACTGCAGCTACTGCGGAGACCGCTGGCGCTGGTGGTAACTGTGGCTAGGAAAGTAATTATTATTATAATTGAGTTTCAATTATACTTAATTAGGTATCATATAAGGTTATGCCGTGACTATACTTTTCTACTGGACTACTTGGATGCTATTTGTCTGTACAAATTAATACATAGCACAAACTACGTGAAAAATAGTTTCAGGGATCTACAAAACTGGCTAAAATATAAAAGCTGTTTGTTTAATATTTAAGATTTAGTTTCTAAATTATTGTTATTACTTATTTATTCTTGTTCCTTAGATATTTCATTTATTATGTTTTACATTTATTAATAAATAAAGGGTGTAAAATAATTGAAACTTTAAGTATATTTATTAAGGATTTTTTTTATTGTTCGTTTTATTTGTTTCGTTTCTAAATAAAATAGGATAAAATTCCTTTCACCATTCATCTTTCACCTTTACTTTTTTGAGTACAGAGCCCTATAAAGTATTAGCGGAACTAGTAACAAATTTAGGTACCGGTGGAGTAATGGACTGGTCACAAGATGCGCCTGCCCATCCCGGAGCGCAAACGCAACGAGACAGTGGCGCAGACGACGCCTGCGCAGGAAGACGGGCACAAGTACCGCCGTTGGCGCAATGTGTCTCACACCGGGGAGGCTCAAGCACCGAACAGGTCTCACCTAAAACACAATCCAAGTGAATGTCACTCAAAGTACTTTGATGCTTAATTCGTAGGCGTTTGGATAATATAGACTTTAACTCACCAGTCCAGCCATCGCGACAGGCGCACGAGAAACCAGTAGGTCCGCTTGTACACGTCCCATTATTTTGGCAAGGATTCGGCACACACTCATTAATTATACCTAAAACAAGAATTCATTTACATACTGGTAAAGTTAAATAAAATACATAAGTACTGCATAGGCATTTGACATAGGCATAATTACAATAAAAATTGTTTATGAAAGAACTCATCTACAAATACATCTACTCGTAGAAATTATTGAAAGAAAACTAGGACCTGACAAAATTATAAATGTAATTAAAACACTAACGCTTTAAACGCGAAATATATTAGTTAAACTCATTTGAAAATTTTACTACTAACAAGTTACTTTTTACAACATTTTACTTTACAAGTTTAACTAATATATTTCTTGTTTTAAACCGTTAAAGTTGAAGTACTAACATTAAGTACAGATAGCATTTAAGATTATAAATGAAAAATATTTATTTATAATGTGGTCTTTCGTATCTGCCATTCAGCTACTACCAAATATAACTTCTAGTAGGATCAATAGCTGTAGAAGAAAATTTTGGACTTACTTAAGGCAGGATCCCGTGCTGCGCGCTGGGTACAGTTCTTCCCGGTCCAACCAGGAGAGCAGTGGCAGTAGTAGTCACTCTGCGCTGTGTAGCACGGTGCACCGTTACCGCAAGGTGAGCCAGCGCAATGATCGCGATCGTCCTGAAGAAACACATAATCAGTAACAATATATTTTCGTAGCTGTAATAAGTATTGGTACTCATTTAAAGTTCCTGTTGGATTAAAAACCTGCCACAAGCTCGGTTCGATTCCACCACAGCCCGTACATACGCTTTGTAATAGAAGTATTCGTACTTAGGTAGTCATTTTTGGCACCTACTTTTTTTATAATATAATCGTAAAAACTTCAAACTGGTTTAGTACCCAACATTTTGTAGTTCCATAAAAAAAATCTTAATTACATATTATGCAAACATAACAAGATCAGGTTTTTAGTAACTCACCGCACAGTAGCGTCCCAAGCAGGAGGCAAGCTAGAAGTAGAGATTGTTTAGTTGGTTAGTGGCAGCTGTTGAAAAATGTTAATATTTATATATTATATATTAATAAGTATTTTATATGAAATAAAAAGTTAGATTAGTGTAGGAGGTTAGTAGGCAAGAAAGAGTGAAAATTTGTTTTAGGTACTTCGAAGGTGAACTGTTAAATTTATATTAGTTAATATACATTTAAGCTTTTATTTTTAATTAAAAAAATAGTCGCACCTCGCAGTCTAGGCCGGAGAACCCAACGGGGCAAATGCAACGGTACGCATCCAGCAGATCAACACACTCGCCGCCATTGCGACAGGGTCGCGATGCACAATCGTCGACATCCCGAGCACAAGTGCGCCCAGCCCATCCCGCTGCGCATGCGCAGTGAAAGTCGTCCACCAGATCTATACAGGTTGCACCATTGAGACATTGGCCAGTGCAATCGTCCACATTCTGCTCACAATCGCGTCCCGTCCAGCCGGCTAGACAAGTGCAGGAGTAACCGCCCGCCGTGTTATTGCAAGCGGCTGCGTTAACGCAGGGACCCACTGCGCCTTCAGGACCAGCTGTCACTTCAGCGCATTCGTCTACATCCTCGGCACAAGTGGGGCCACGCCAGCCCGACGTGCAATCACATTGAAATGCGTCCAGACGATCTCGGCAAACCCCACCGTGTAAACATGGGGCCGAGGCACAGTCATCCGCGTCTAGATCGCAGCGCGTTCCTGTCCATCCACGTTCGCAGGCGCAAGTGAATCCAGATGGTGCGCCACTCAGTTCACAGACACCATGCGCACACGGCTGCGGTGCGCATGGGTTGTCCACACGTTCGCAATCCACTCCGGAGAAACCTTCAGCGCACGTGCAAAGATACTGGTCTGGTGCTGTGTTCTCGCATGTGCCGCCGTGCTGGCAGGGCTCGTGTGTGCCGCAGTAGTTTAGATCTGGTATAAGCATTTTCTATTAACAACTTAAAAGATGTAAAAAAGGTTTTCAGGGGTAGGTATATATACACACCTTGGTCGCATAAAATTCCACCCCAATTTGTATCACAAGTGCAATCCCAGGATGAGCCGTTGCAATAGCCATGTTTACAGCCCGGGTAAGGCTGGCATTGCGCACATAAATCTCCGCGCCATCCTGGCCTACATCTACGAGAAATACATAAGAAAATCAGCAAGTGTAAAGCAAGTATATAAAGTAAGCAAGTTTATGTCGTAATGTGTCTTATGAAAGAATGGCTTGATAAGTAGGTGATGAATAATTTTATATAAAAACATAATATTCGATTTTATAATCACACCATGTAAAGATAAGAACATTGACGCTACTTACAAACATTCACCGGGCTGATCGCAGCGGCCATGGGCAGGGTGGCACCCCTCTTTACACACAGCTGAAAAGCAAAATTAACTATGAACACTTTTGATTCACACTTCTTAGGGTCAACAAAACTAAATACTCATATAAAACTTAGAAGAATAAATTGAAAACACTCAAAAACAGTTACATCAGTTTACCAGACTAATTATTCATGGCATATAAGAAGTCAGTATGTATATGTATATTTATGTTAAAAATAATAAATTATATCTAACTGCATCAGGTCATATCAGGATTTTTCCTACTGGGTGGGGTCTTAAAATAGAAAACTTCTTTATCTAATGTAATAGAGTCATATCTTCTAAATTATTGTCTTTACTTTTTGTTTTTGTTCCTGAGACATATCTTTTATTGTGTTATAAATTTGTTATATTTAGTATGTATGTATAAATAAGTGAAGCTGGTCTATTTAAATACTGTCTGTAATTTCCGTGAGTAATACTCATTTAAATAAAACACTTTAACGGCTTAAAACGCGATATATACCATGACCACGGCTGCTGCAACGCATCCGAAAGGTCGGACCGTAGTTAATATGATTTTTAAATAAGTTTAACTAATATATTTCACGTTTTAAACCGTTAAAGTGTTCTATTTATTTAAGATTTTAAGTATTCTATTGTTCTGTATGACTGTTTCATTTCAAAAGATATAGTCATAATTATAATTGAAACAAAATAAATAAGACTCACGTTTCTCGCAGTTATCACCCTGCCATCCAGGAAGACATCGCTTGTCTCCTTGTGCGGAACAAGAGTAGTGCCCAAACTTGTCGTCTCGTGGCCGGCAGAAGGTGGTACATGTTGTATTATAGTAGTTCGCTTTGCAAAGCACTCGTACCCTGTAAGCTACAGCAGCGCCGCGGCCTGCATGCCGCAGCGCGTGCCACTCAGCACCAGGCTCCACGATGCCAGACCACCACGCTTCCTCTATCAGTCCACTCTCCCCTCCTTCTTCAGTCTCACTGCCCTCTACTCCCGTCCCGTACTCGTAATCGTCATAGGCTTGCAGAATTAACGTGAATGAGCGCTGTGAAAGGACATTTGACTTGTTAGGAACACTTATTTACTTTTTTACTACTGTAGTTAGTTACATACTTTAAATCCGACTCGAAGGACCATCGTGGTCCATCGTAGAAGCCTCACTTGAATGCTTGTTTTAGATAGTATACTCTATTGAGTGAGATGTATGCTCATAAATGTCTCGGCTTTAATTAATTAAAACTCATACACGTTTGTAGACTACTTCCTTTTTTCTATGATAGAGGAGGACAAAAACCTAGATAGAACCTAGAACCTGATATGTGAAATACTCCAGCTTGACCTATTTTTGGCTTTTGGATATTCGGATTTATTAGAATTGAATTCGATTTTTTTTAATAATACTCACTTTATATTTTTATTATAATTTATGAAAATAATGAAAAAAAATACTTTAAAAAAAAATAATATTTTAGTTTTGCTTCAGAAATACCTAATGTTTAAACTCACCGTCCAACGGAAAGAGAAAGGCAGCGCAAGTGTATAGAGCGGATCGGCGAGCGTGAAGGAGTCTGTGCCAAGCACGGGTGAGGAGGCACGGCCGAAGGAACATGCACCCGGTGCCGCTGCCGACTGGTACTCCTTAAGGCAGAGAGCAAAGCGCGTCCGGCAGGGTCTCGAGCAGGCAGATGGTGGGGGAGGGGATTCAGCACCCCCGCAGCAGCGCCCTGACGCGAGCTGAAGCCTGTAGTTGGAGAACTCGAGGATTTGCAGCTCGAACACACCCGCCCCCGCCGCGCACTGTTAAATACAAAACATAGGTAATGTATTTTTACCTTGTAATAACTTCTTATTTGCTTTTATTAAAATAGTTTTATTTATTTACAGTAAGTGTAAATTTTTATGTAGATACTAGGTGACACGAACGATGTTCAAAAAAATCATCTTTGTTGTAGTGTAATTGTATAGTTTTATTATTGTAATATAAAGTAATAATAATATTAAGTATTCTTTAACTTTACCATTGACATAGTAATTATAAGTTTTATAAACATTTTACAACATTTTGAAAAGTAAAATTTTCTTCTTCACATTTTATTCTTGTGTTGTATGTTGAAAGTCATGCAATTCGTAAGCACTTTAGTTTTATAAAAAATCTATTTCAATCTTATCTTTCCACAGTAGAAGAATAATAAAACCTTACCAACAAATATAAATATTAAGAAGAGACATTGCGTTTCCCTTTGGATCCCCTTGGAAGTCAATTGTATAGCAAGTTACTCAGACCGATTATCTAAGCCAGGAGGCGAACCCAAAACTTAGTTCTTTACGCAATGCGCTTAACAATAGAGTCACGAGTTTACGCGATGTTAATTTCGAATGTAACCAAGAGATGAGTTTCGATTTATCTGTTAACTAATCACTAGGCTTCAACTAAATGGCAGTGCTTGCGGTAAACAAATTCAGCAAGGATGATTTACATTGTCCCAGAGAGAGTGGAGGCGTGCCCTCATTTATACCCGCCTACCTCTCACCTTCACCGCCCTAGTGACAGACTCCGCCTAACTTTGTGCATCCTGAAAAACAGCGACAATACGGTCTAAAAAGATTTTATTATATCTTACTTGAAAGAGTTGTTCACCTTTGTACTTACGTAACTAATTTTATACGAATTATTAATTAGGTTGGATAGTGACGGATATACGTAATACTTCCCTTTATAAATCGATAATAATACTAACGCAGGTGTTTAGACAAATGTTATGTTAAATAAATTGGGTAATAAAATAGTAACTGGTATTTTTAAGGTTCAGCAGGAAATCTTAACCAAATTATTGTACTTAGAATAAAAAAAAACTTTGTAAAAAATGTTAGGTAGGTATATTATAGGTAATTCAAAATCGATGACAACAATTTGAAGTAAAGTTAGTCAATATACTAGTGTGATAAATATTGACAATAATATTGATCTACATAAAAAAAAATAGTTATTCATAGTAGTGTTATTTGTTATACTAATGTAAAAAACGTTCATACTTCACTATATTTTTAAGGTATACAATTACATTTAAATAACACTTTTAACGGATTAAAACGCAAAATATATTCGTCCCCCCCCCGTGACCACGACTATTGGTACAAATCGTCTATTTAAAATAAATAGTAGCTAAGTTAAATAATATATTTAGTATTTTAAACCGTTCAAAGTGTTTTGTTTAATTGTGTGCTATTCGCATAAAAAAAAGACTACGATTTCAAATTTTTACTCTAGCTTTACCTTAATGTAAAAACATATATGTAGTTACAATATATCAACATGTATTGCATTTAACATGAATTATATCATATCAGAATTTTTATAATTAAATTCTCATAAGCGCAAGTTATCTATGTGGAATTTATCGCACAGTTACGATAAATAGCAAAAACGCACACTCTGTTTGTTATTACGTAATTTCTGCGTATGATCAGCGTACGAAATATGATTTTAATAAATCATTAAAATTATAAACCACATAGCAGTTGATATTTTACTGAGAATGTTCTCGCTAAAAAAGAAATATTCATAAGTTAATAACTGGATAATATTTCCTGCACACTTAATTTGGTTTATAACTCGGGAGTGGTTTAATGGTTCTTGAGTAAGATGTTTGTGAGGTGTAAACCTATATTGGTTTAGTACGTTCTAATAAAGTGAAATTGTTGGAAGCCTTACAGTTAAATAACATATACAAGAAGAACAAAGCAATTACATCTTTCATTTAAATATAACACTTTATCGGTTTATAACGTGAAATATTTTAAACTTATTTTTAATTTATTTTAACTACAGCTCGACGTTTCGGTTGCTTTGTAACAAAAAGAATGAAAGGGTGTCCCTAATATTAAAGACAAGTCTGCTACGCGCCAAAATAAATTAACTACTTACTTCGCGTTTTAAGGTATTAAAAGTGTTTTATTTAAATTCGTACCACTCGCGTAAACAACAGATAAGCTTACTCCTACTTACCTACTACTGATTAAACTTCACACACAGATGGTTCGTGACCCGGACGGAACTTCGATATTCCTACCATCCATTTAACATGCAAATTTCTAGACGAAGTCATGTTTCACTAAAATTATAAATTGATTAGAAAAATGCTGGACTCGGTGGGGATCGAATTCACGACCCATTGATTATTCGCCTACATTGCTACCAATACACCAACTAGCCCGTAAAAAATTTACGAACTTTCTAGATCCGGGTTGAATGGTTTTTGTGGTGGCATAGAACATAGGCGTCTGGTAACCGTGTGAGCGGATGAGAAGAAGGCCAGCAACGGATATAGTCCACATTTTAAACACAACTATGCGCTTCATGCTAACAGCGGAAGGGACGCAGCCTTTAGCGTTGTCGCAAAACTATTATTTACTGCATTCTGTGACCAAAACAGATTCACTCTCTTCGTCATTATACTTCATTCAGGGCACAACTATTTCATACTTTTCTTGTTTATGGAGCTGGTTTTACTTGTATCGCTTCGTTACTTTTTAATAAAACTTATTTACAGACGTAGCTAGTTCGTGTTCTAGTGTATTTTATTTTGCGTTTTGCACGACATCTAGAGTAAACTGTACAAAGTATTCTATTTTATGTTTCCCGAAATCATCAAGATCTCGTGAAATATATTGCTCTTTCAAGTTTAAAGTGTTATTTACAATTTATTTATTTAATACACTTTCGAATCCGAAATATTTGGTCGCAGTTAACAATTTGTTCACTAATATAGGTAGATACTTCACGTTTTAATCTGTTAGAAGTTTTTATTTCAGTCAAAATAATGTATTATACAAATAAATAAACATTTCTTTATTCTAAATAAAACATAAAAATACCCAAAAAAAAAAATAAAGTACTCAACATGGCAAAAAGGATTTCAAAAGTCTTAATAAAATGCCGAACGGAGCGAGGCAGGTAAAAATATTTAGATTCGGTCAGAGATTGTCTCCCTACAAATAAGATGGTTAACAAAAGACCAGTAATTGATTTTAAAAGCGGAGTAATAAATAATGCATAGAATAATAAAATTCTAATTTATTGGAATGACTGGATTTTTTGTCTTTGACTTTATTGATAAATGTGTTTTTTTTAGCGTAATTTCAGAACTATAATGTAAACACAGTGATTCTTTCTAGAAAAAGTCGGACATGTTTCAGAAGAATTGTAAATTTATTTCGGATATACGTGTTCCCTTGTGCCGTAGCCGTTGGACAAACGACCACAAACATGCATGTGGTCGCTTTCGGAACCTACTGCAGAAGATAACCTAACCTAAAGCTAAAAGAGATCTTTATCTTAGAATACATTGTACAGATGTATCAAGTGCAGTGCAGTAGAGTAATGCTAAAATTGCTTCATCTTACCGTAAATATAAATTTATTTACCTACGGATCGCTTGTAGTTTACGCGGAATATATTTCTTAACAATTTATTTAAACTACGGCCTAACGTTTCGGACGCTTTGAAGTCAGGGTTGATGTAAAATATCTGGTAAACTAACATATTTAGCGTTTTAAACCGTTAAAAGTGTTTTATTTAATTTACTTAAGGTCAACGACATATCATTAGCTATATTGCGCTGTTCGACAGCCGCAGTTCATCCATTGCTATCAAGAAGCACTCTTCCTCATAAATAATTTATCGAACAGGTTCCGAGCGTGCAATTTTAGAACCCAATCCGGTAATAAATTAAAAATCACCCAAAAAGGTTAAAGCTCTTTCAATTTTAATAACTATAAAAATTTCTTTATGGCGGAATAGTTGAGTTCGTGTTGATTTTCGTGTTTCAGATGTGACTCTTATGAATTAGCATTTTGATTCTAGTAATCGTCTATTCAAATTTTGAATATAACTCAAAAATTGCGTTATTAAAAATAAAATTCGAATTTATCACTCGTAGAAACTGTAAAGTATAACAAGTTATACTTACCGTTTTTTACATAAGTTATTTTTCAAAAATCGAATGAAAATAATCTTTATAGCAATAAATTGTGTAAGGCTCTCAGGGCCATCGTTCACCATATCAATATAATATATATTCTTCGAGGAAGCGAGGACCTAACATCTCCTGATGAAGCCGTCCGCTCGTGATGGCGTAACGTCGAGAACCTCTTCTCGCGTACGTCGCCCAACAAAAAAGATAATTCTGAATCTTTGTAGCATAGTAGTTTGATATGCTTTATTGCAGCAAAATATATTTTACATTAGCTTTGCAGTCACGTAAATAACACAATGTTTAATAATTAAAATGTAATGAAAAAAGATGTGCAAAACATACTATCCTTTTTTCCTTCATTATTGGTTAAAATGGAGAATTCTGTAAGTTGTATTATTTGTTACTAACGCCGTAATAGGAAGTTGAATACTATGTTCTGAGCTGCGAATTTTAATATAATCTGTGAAATTACATTCATAATAACGGAAATGAGATTTTGAAGCGACCAGATTTGTATGATTACAGGAAAGGAAGTAAGTTTGTTTAAAACCGAATTTCACCAAACAATAATGATACTGTTCAAAGTGTATCTCATAGTTATAGTGCAGCTTTTGGAAGACCCCCTCTGTAGTTTGCTTATACGTGTTGCCTAGCATAGTATTGTGTCTAGAGGTTTTAATCTCGGGGTAACAAAAGATTATTTCTGTCGAGCAGAGCATTAAAGTTTGATGTTGATCAGGGAAGTGATATTTACAGTTAATATAAAACTAAAAGGATCAGTGAAACGGACTCATAAATGTGCTCGCCCCATGCCCCACGAGGTGGAACAGGATTTCCCTTATACAAAAGATTTTACGCATAATTGGTATTTATTTAGAAATAAATAAATACAGATGTACTCAATTTGTATTCTAATTTATTTCTAAGTGAAATGTCTAACGTCTAAGTAAGTGTTGTACTCGTAGGAAGCTATTAATAAGAGTCGAGTAGACCTTAAAATTATCCTCCAAGATGTCAATAATCGACAGCAAATCACACGCGAAAGCTAGGAGATTCGGAGTCTCGCCCGCCTCAATTGTCGTCGGTTACACGTTAATTAACATTAAACGGTCAATGAATGGAATATGCGCGGACGCACGAATTTAACATATTCTGTTCACATTCGTCGCAACTGCTTTTAGTGGAGCCGTACTTCGGGTGTGATTATTTCATAGCGTAAACTTACAGGATCGGTTACTTTACAATTACATATTTTTGTCAAAATTAGTAAGAAATTGTAGCTGTAAATAAAAATATATAGAGATCTTAACTTGTTACTTGAGGATAATTTGTAAATCCATCCGTTGGCACCAAAAATAGCAAAAATATATCGACAGTGCAACCCTTGACAAAATTATACATTGCAAACGTTAATAAATTTCTGTTGACTATACCTAAATCGCTAATGCTGCACATCTAACGTCTTAATTTATAGGGAAATTTATTTTATGGACATCTATAGATCTTACATTATACTAAACATCATAATAATAAGTAGGACCCAATTTCTGATGTAGATAGCTTTGTTAATTTAATATTAGTATATTTATAGAACAGCAATCGAACCTATTAATAATAAACTGTTTATTACCGCACTACTTTATTGTTTGTTTTACGGTGCAATAGAATCACAGCAATGATCAGCTCCGGTTTCTCGCGTGACATAAATAAGGGTAGTGTTAGAAATTAAACGTGGTATTATGTGTAAGCAGTACGTACTGGCAGAGCTGCGGCGAGTGCAGCGGCGAGGGCCAGCGCGAGCAGCAGCGGCGCGTTGCGCCGGGTGCGCGCGCGCATCGGGTCAGCGAAGCGCCGCGGCCGCGCAGCGCCGCCGCCAGCGCGCCCGCATGCTCCGGACCACTGCAACACTGCACTGTTCGGATCACAACCCACTACCGTCAACTCCAGCGAGCAGTTCACTAGCCACTCAGTAACGATTAAGCACCTGGCGGTAACAATGAGACGAGCACTCGCGACGGGGCCCAGAGAGGCACTGCGGCTGGAGCGCGCTCCGCCCCGCGGACCCCCTCCCGCCTAAGGTACGCTATCGATCCTCATCTCATGCGCACAGATCGCGCCAACTGGTCAGTGCGGAGCGCAATGTTAGGTAAGTTCTGACAAAGTTTAAAGCTCTGTCGAAATCTCTACTCAACTTTACCTTATATAAGAATAATAATAAATTTCACTTAAAATTTTTAGATATTTATTTTCGCGTTTCGTTTATATCACAAAACTCTTTGTGTGTTTAACCAATAGCGATGTATATGTTTTAATTAGATCTAATATGTTAACAATGTAATATAACGAAGGACGTTAAATGTTAAATTATTTAAAGTTACAAATGAAACTTTAGACCTGATTCGGAAACATTCATCAAGCAAGGAAGGATCAACTTAATTTTGATTCCATTACAATATATGTTACGTGTATTACATATATTTAACAAGCGTGGAATATAATACATATATATATTTCAACCTATAAATAAAGCTAGTTCTTTTGGGAGAACTAATAGCGTGTTTTTGTAAATTGGCAATTGATCATGCGCAGGAACATTTCTATCACTTTTATTTAAGATGCAAACGCGGAATTTAAGCTTTAAGAGTCAGTTTTTTCAATAGTATTGATTTTGCGCTGGCGTCGCCGCTTAACTTCACGGGCTTAACAAGTTGAGCTTGTGTTCAATGCAATGATTAGAGCAACCAGAGCAGTGTTGTCATCACTTGCCCGCCGTCATAGATAAGCATCGTTACATCTCTCGCGGTCCTAGTGACATGTAAATGGACGGAAGCCAGTCGGTTCGCTGATGTGTACACCGCTGTTAATTACCACCCCATCTTACTTGGCACTTGTACTAGATACAGACACTAATAGCGAAAGGAAATCTAATTAAAATGCCTCTAAGTTCGTTGTGTATAGTCGACTAAAATATATTGTTTTAATACTTTATATACATAAAATTATTAATTTAATGTGCATTAATACAATTTAATTTAAGCCATATTAAACTTAGACCGCGAGAGATACTTCGTTAATATTTACATTTTTATTTACTTTTCCAACACTTCATTTATTATCTTCACTAGCACTATTTAAAATAAGAAGTTAATCATTTTTTTCTTTAGGGATTGTTCTAGAAGGACAGACAATTATCGTCTAAATAAGACATGCTATCGACCTAATTTGACCATAGTTAATTAAATTCTTTGTGTAATGTTATGCTTGTAAGGCGTAAGGCCAGCATATTGTTATTAAAATATCACTGACAAATACTTGATCGAGCTTCTGTATTCTGCCGGACCGATTTCTTTTCCCAGGATTCGAAAATGGGACTGCAAAACAAGTGCATTATGCAAAAAAACGTACAAGTTCCTAATGTTTGTTATTTACTATCCATGACAATATAAATGTACTTTTAAATTAAACACTTTCCACGCTTAAAAACGCGAAATATAGTGTGTAACTATGTTAAACTGATACATTTCGCGTTTTAAGCCGTTGAAAGTGTTTAATTTAAAAGTACTACTCGCGTAAACTACACACAGTACGTATAAATTCTTTCATATTTAGCAATTAGGATTTTCGATCAAAATAAATTATATCTTGGTACAATATTGTATGACAATATTAGCTTTTATTAATAACGTGATACGTGACGTGATAGTTTCTGCTATTGAACATTTAGGAACAATTGTAATCGCTGATCAAAATCTAATTATAGTCAATATTATGATGTAGAAGCAGTGAGGCGAAACAGCATGAACTGGTTATGGTAATAAATCTTTCCTCAAAATCGAATTAACTACTTTTACTGCTACCCATCGTTATAACAGACGTGTGTGTGTGTGTGTGAGGTGAGTGTGTGTTCTCCGCGAGCACCTTTAATTAAAATGCCGAAGGTTCGGGCGGCCGCGGGTGTCGAGGGAGGGGAAGTCTAAGGAGCGAAGCCTTCTAGCTTTCTACGCGGAAAAGAATTCCAATTAGATGAGATGTTCTGCGTTAGATATTCATCACACGGCGTGGGGTGGCTATCAGATCCTATATACTGACGACGGAAGTTTGGATGCGTTGGCATGACCAGATAACAGATTAGGAAATTGACAAATAAGTAACGATAGGACCCGAACTACATACATTATTTAAATAAAACACTTTAACGGTTTAAAACGTGAAATTTTTTGAAATTTCTAATTCAACACCTTGCACGGTTAAAACCATATTATTGATTTAAAGAAAAGTATTTCAATACTACTCGGTAAACCACGACTGCAGCTAAACAGAGTAGCCATTTAAACAATATAGAGAGCCAATTACACGATTTATAGTTTGATGTAAATTAGTACTATAAACAATAAAAACAAAACAAATTTGTGAAAAATACAGCTATACATTTTTTTTAATTATGGTAAGTACTATAAAACCATCATTGATTTATTAAATAAAAAACGTTATATCTTTGTAAGTAAATAACATAATGCAAAATAATTAATAACTTGAAGTGAATCTGTTATAATTCTTTTTTATTTAATTTAGCTCAGTTATAAAAAACCAAACGCAATACCTTAAAAATTAAAAATTTTGACAAGTACTAAATCGAGACTGTTTTGATTTTCAAATCATTATCTTTATTTTCAATATATACACAAAGACATTTAAATAGACTATTCTTACTAGATTCTCACTTGTCTAAAAACACAAGAAAATCCTAAAATAAAAGGGTGTTCTTGTGTCAGTGTATTGTTTTAAAGTGTATAAGTATTGTAGTATTGTATGTCTATACCCGCTACGCGTTACAGGTGTGTCATAAAGTCATGGTGGCCCGAGGCTACAGAGTGGTGAACTCAACGGCACTCCCGTGCAGCCTGCGGGCACCATGCGCTGTACTGCGCAGGCGCACCGTCGCTTGTCTACCTTGCCGCTGGCTAACATCTGGCGACCACTGACCCATATAATACAACCGTTTTATACTGACGATAAAGAAAGAAAAAGAAAGATGTAAAAATAAACTATTATATAAGTAAAAATATAATAGTCCTTAAATGCAGACCAAGATTTATTATAAACAAATTAAAAATCGATTATAAATTGAAAAAGTTCGAAAAGTACTTTTATCGAAATAATAAAATAAAGTCAATGAAAAACGCAACAACAGATTACGCGATAGTCTTAACGTTGCGTGGCTTTAAACTTAGGAACCAGTGCTTGGGACCGGTCCACTCTTCGTACACACACACACACAAACAACTAAACATTAGGAAAACTATTTGTAAACCACTACATCATAACGCATGGTCAGCGTGACTTGCAGCATGCAAGCAGCACAAACCCTACAATTTACAGTACGTTTTGTGTATTCCTTAGTTCTATTACTGTTAACGTTTTAAAATATAAGGAAATATGGGACTCTCCTATCTATTTATAGACACTCAGATAAGGAACTAGAACTTAAAAAAAAAACGTACTAAAAGACAGATTTGTTTAAATAAAACACTTGAACGGTTTAAAACGCGATATATTAGTTAAACTTAACTTAACGTGGGGCCGAAGTTAAAAATCATTTCCAAATAAGTTTAACTAATATATCGCGTTTTAAACCGTTAAAGTGTTCTATTTAAATGTATACTACTCGCGTAAACTATAGACAGACAGATTTGTATCAGTGTACCCAAAGTAACAAATAAAATGAATATATATATCTTATGTGTGAATTAAAAAAACGATTATAAATTGAAAATATTCACGACTCGGGCAGGACTTGAACCGGCATCCACATGGCTCCGTGCTGTTGCTCTAACCAATTCACCTTTAACAAATTTTGGAAATTTGAAAGCTTTTGGTTCTATTTTTTATTTTGCTGTTGTGTGCAATATTTTACTATTTTGGGGAAAAGTAGGACGTAAATCAGTTAACGGACACAGATTTATGTCTGTACCGGCCCCATGACAATCTAAATTTCCTATGTCACTTTTTTACGTAGTTTAACAAGATGAATTTCGTCAACTTATCTACCGACTTTCAAAAACTGTAGCATTCTTGCTTTCAAATAAATGAGTTGTTGTAGTTTCAAATAACACAATATTATAAAAATATTATGTACTTTCTCAAGTGAAGTATTTATATATAATTAATTTGGCAAACCAAACACTTTTGTTAACATGTATAAACTTGTAGCGTTTTCGATAATTTCGGAATTGTAAAAATTACATGTGGTTCGTTGAGTACAGGCCGACCGGTCGATCCTGTCTTGGACCGGAGCCTATGCGTGTTATTTTTAGCTAAGTGCGCCTCACAACTCATCTTCGGCTGCCACTGATTCTGATGGAAAGAAAGAAAAGCAAAACGTATTCAGAAGAAATGGTATCAAACGCTTCTTGCATTAATTAAGTAAGGTAAGCTTATACTTTATAGATTCTTATTGTTTTGATAAGTTAGTATTATTTGAAGTTTACGTGAACAGTGAAAATTAAAATTAAACTCTTTTAACGGTTTAAATATATTAGTTAACTTATTTACAATTTATTTTAATTACGGTCCAACGTTTCGGGAGCTTTGCAGCCGTGGTCACGGGAGTCGTCCCAGCTATATTTTGCGTTTTAGATCGTTAAAGGTGTTTTATTGAGAGTACTTAATTTAATTATCAAAATATTTTTTAAAGGACATATCTGGTTTGTGGCCAATATATTATGTAATACAATATATTTTGTGCAGTTTTAATCCTCCACGCGACAATTGAAGTGTCGTGATCAGTTCTCTGATGATTTTGATGTTCTCTGAATGATTCGAATCCCACTTGTATTACTTATATATAAGTTTTTTCAATATTCATAAAATACCTTTTCTACTTACAAACTTAATAGTTTGAGGCAAAACAGAAATCTTCCGATTTGTTAGGTACTCTACTATATTAAAAATAAGTTATTACGAGATTCTGCAGTGATGTACCAGTAGATCGTGGTCAACCGTCTCTGCGTGCCCTCACGGTTGCGCGTGCGCCGACTACTAACTGAGCAGACGCTTCTCGGAACGGAACATACATACACAAATCCATTGTTTACAGCCTAACTATAGACCTTCGAAGCAATATCAAAGAAGAAAGACGTATGTTAAAATCGATTCTTTGGTTTTTGTAAGCAATATAAAAGAAACTTACACAAGATCGATGGAAGTTATTTTCTTATAAATAAATTACTTTACTCTATTATTCATGAACTAAACACAATTAAAATCCCTTCGTCCCCGCATGTGACATGGGACAGACGGGTTCGTTGGTCTTGGGTTGGTCGATCTATGTTTAACAATCAACGGGTCGCGGGTTCGTTCCCTACCGGATCTAACATGATTCTTATTTTAAAATTTATAGTTTTGGATATATGGAAGCCAACTTTTGTTTAGATGCTGGGGGGGGGGGGGGGTTTATCACCTAACATCAAGTGAAACCCAAGCTGTCCTTGTCTTATTAAAAAGAAGACGCTAGTCCGTCTACTTTACTGACCGCCTTAATTCCACGCACTTGATCAGACTTCTAAGCCAATCCCAAACAAAACTATCACGTTTGTTCGGAAATCGATTCCTGGACCCACACGTTAAATCATTTAACCATTGCCACGGCGACGGTCGTTCAAATAACTTAATGACAAACAAATAATAAAACTTTCACTGTGTAGAAGTTTACAGTACCGAGTGCAGTGATTTTCTTATAAAGCCAAATAGAAATGAATTTATTGTTAGTTGTCATGTTTTTGCAAGCGTGAGATGGAGCGTGGAGCGTGGATCAAAGGTGCTGGATGATGGATGATGGATTGTGGATGGTGGGTGACGGCAAATGATTGATGAAGAACTCGAACTTATAATGCGTTCAGGCGAGGAATTGGCGTTTATTTATCGCGCTATTGGGTATAAAACAATAGCTTATGTACGCGTAAAATTGTAAATTTTGTAAAAGAGGCTTTTTAGTTTATTGGTACAATCCGCGTAAGATGTACTCTCCAAGGAAGGCAGACATCTTTAATTGGCATATTTTAGAGCCAACAAATTGATATGATAAACCAGCGCAGACCTGCGCAGGATCTATATAAACAGCATTTATACTAGAAGGCCCAGTCTTTCTAGTAATAGGAAAATGGTTCTAATAGTGATAGCAAATTGATATAAATAAAACGATTGTTATTAAACTAATTTTGGTTTATTGTAATTATTAACACTTGTGAATAAGGTAAAGTTACGTTATTATATACCCGAGTAGTACACATTTAAAACGGCTTGAAACGTGAAATATATTAGGTCACTTGCAAAGCATCCTCAACGTCGAATGTCGTTAAAATAATTTGTACTTGCATTGTAAACTAATATATTTCGCGTTTTAAACGGTTAAGAGTCGTTTATTTAAATAACGTAAAGCTGAACAAAAAACGTCGATGAAGGCTTAATCGTGCACGTTTCTTAATTTATTATGATGTACTTTTTTCCTTCTAAATTTGGCATACTTTTTCGTTGTTAAGAGCTAATCGTCTGTGACTTTTTGTTGGGACCGCGTGATGAGTTAATCGCATTACAGTGCCTTCAGACTCGTGTTGTCCATTCCATCCCTAATTACAATGTACCCTCCTCGTGTTACATTAATTAATCGATATTGGATTAAAACAAACCTTATTTCAACGAGTTGAAACGCGATTTATTGTTAAGTTTTTGTTAACTACGATACGAAGTTTACATAACCGAACCAAATAAAACGCGTTTCGACTCGTTAGAATGGGTTAATTGGAATGTGTAATTGTAAGCTACAGAAACAAATATTAAATAATCATAATTTCTGTATTTGAGTAAGAGATATGTTGAGACACTGTTTCTCTCAAACAAGTAATATTTCTAGATAGTTGCTTAGACTTCTGTGCCCTGCCCGACCAAAACAAATTATTGTTTGTCCCCCTGTGACAACGGTTGCTGCAAAGCATTCGCAATGTCTGAACGTGGTTAAAATAATTTGTTAATAAGTTTAACATACATTTCGCGTTTTAAACCGTTACAAGTGTTCACAACTACAGATAGATGTTAATTTGCTTATAAATTTCGATTTTTTACTAGGGTAAAAATTATTAGTATTCCTTAGGTATTAAGACTATATCATTGTGACGAAGCTTACACGTAGTTTAGAGCAATGAGATGGCGCGGGATTAATTGGAGTCAAGTCGGATTAGAGCGGCGCTTGCGCAGACAATATATAATGTAGACATTGCAAATTCTCGCTACGTATTTGACAGGATCGTTGTTCTAATGTCAGTGAAGCTATACTGTATAGAACAAAATAAGTTTATCATTATCGAAATGAAACAAAAAGTTTATAGTCTACTTGTACTATAAAGCCTACAGTAATAAATAAAATGTAATTAGTAAATATTTATTATTAAAATAATTAGATGTTGCAAGATATTTTTCTACGCAAAGTTACTTTAAAAAAAAATTAAATCACTCTTTTTTATTATTTATTTGTTAATAGGCACATCAATTCCAGCTATTGGCCTTATGAATTTTATTATTATATCATTGTTTTTATTAATTTTAGTATTTGAATAAAATATACGTCGTATATAAAACAGGTTATCATTGTAACCGCATGTTGACTGCGATATAACAATATTTTTTGTAAAACCTTGAATCTTCGCATCACCTTTAGTCATAGTTTCTAGGGAAACGCAGAACTCAATGAATACTGATTAGATTGCCAAGTAGATGCTCGCACGTCGCGTCGCTATACGTCAGTCTATACTCAATCACAATGATTCATTTTAGGAGAAAATATGTAGAGCTTTCCGCTTATTTCCTTCGTACTAAGTGAAAGAGTATGTATTTTTAACAAGCAATTAATTATTATTTATATCATAGGTAGTCAACAGGCTTTTAACAGTTACGTTTAGTGTATTCTCTTGTAAAAGACCACAACAAATATGGCCAAATTCAAACCAGAATTAGTGATGCCCTTTTATAGAGCGAAGTTGTTGCCACAGATGACACAGGAATAAAGAGATATCGATTATATATGCACAAAACTACCTTAATATTCAAAGTCACTTTTATAATGTTTTTTTTGTTAAATTGAAATTTGATGAAATTTAAAGTTTACACAAAGATAATCGTATCTAAGAGTAACAAAAAACAAAAACGGCACAATATATAATATAATCCGATCCAAATTGTCATGAAATATATTTACACTATCAATACAAAAAGATAATAAGAACGAGTGTAGTCGATCCGGGTTGTGACCGTGGGCGGCCACAAGCGAGGTGCAATGACAGGTGAAATCAGTTTTGACAGTTGCTTTTAGGAATTAATTTCGCATTAAACAGGTCGGACGCAATACATCAATGTCTTTATTAGTGATGGCTCAAAATTCGGATCACATTCGGTTTCAATATTAAGTAGTTTAAACCGATCATTCAGTAGGACCATATGATCAATTGCGCATAGTAGATAGATATCTAGATAGGATAGATATACTTAGATATTTTTATGAAATTATGGTTTTGCTTACACGCGAGAAATTTACGTTTTCAATAATATGGTCCGAGAAAACAAATTTGCTATAAGAAACGTATTAACAACGTTTAAATTAAAGTTAAGAATAAAATTACTAATTTAGTCATGAACCGTTCAAGCAATTTCAAATTAAACAAATTTATGAGTTGAAAAGGCAAACTTATTATATCGGTGGATTTAAGGAAACGACTCGCCGTAGTTACGAGTCAATCAACTAATACATATATTACGTACTTTGCGTTAACTGTTACAAGTGTTTAATTTATAATTAATTCTGTTTAATACTAAATAGAAACCGAATGTTCGGTTTCGGTGTACACTGACATTACGTCGTTCTTTATTTGCGGGAGATTATCGTCTCGATTGTATCGTCCACTAACCGGCTGGCCATAGTGACCACGTGACCACCTCCATACTAATCTCGCGACTTACGAATCTATTAGTTGCACAATATGCAATGTGCGTGGGAACTGCATCCACGTGGTCACACCTCTTAAGGCACTGTCTGCTTCATGACTTGCTCGTTTCAAAATAACGCAATCGATGGTGTTAAAGAAGTTATTTAGGATATTTGAAAAGTAAATTCTACATAACATAAGTTACATTTTGTTTATTTGTCGAAATATGAGAGGGAGCTTCTAGAAATAAAAAATGTATTACCAAATTAGAGCAAAAATGTTCTGGATTGGACACCACGTACGGGACATCAAAAACCTGGACGACTGCCAGGTGGGCCATCGACCTGTCAAGGTAGGGGGGAAACGCTGGATTCAAGTAGCGAA